TCGCCGCTCGCCGTCGCGCTCTCGTTGCGCCCGCGCCGCTGACTGCCGCTCGCGCGCGCGCGCGCGCTCCCCGCCCTCTCCTTTCTCGCGCTCGCGCTCTCGTCTAGCCTCGCGCCTGGCCGCTCTCTGCTCTCTCTCACCGTCTCGCCTCCTCGCCTCCTCTCTCTTCCTCGCTCGCCTCCCCCTCTCCCTCCATCCGAACCCGAAGAGAGAGAGTTAGTCAGTTCACCATCATAGCAGACACAGCCAGTTCACCATCGCAGCAGACACAGTTAGTCAGTTCACCATCGTAGCAGACACAGTTAGTCAGTTCACCATTGTAGCAGACACAGTTAGTCAGTTCACCATTGTAGCAGACACAGTTAGTCAGTTCACCATCGTAGCAGACACAGTTAGTAAGTTCACCATCGTAGCAGACACAGTTAGTCAGTTCACCATCATAGCAGACACAGTTAGTCCATTCACCATCGTAGAAGACAGTTAGTCAGTTCACCATCGTAGCAGACACAGTTAGTCAGTTCACCATCATAGCAGACACAGTTAGTCCATTCACCATCGTAGAAGACACAGTTAGTCAGTTCACCATCGTAGAAGACAGTTAGTCAGTTCACCATCATAGCAGACACAGTTAGTCAGTTCACCATCGTAGCAGACACAGTTAGTCAGTTCACCATCGAGCAGACACAGTTAGTCAGTTCACCAGCGTAGCAGACACAGTTAGTCAGTTCACCATCGAGCAGACACAGTTAGTCAGTTCACCATCGAGCAGACACAGTTAGTCAGTTCACCATCATAGCAGACACAGTTAGTCAGTTCACCATCGAGCAGACACAGTTAGTCAGTTCACCATCATAGCAGACACAGTTAGTCAGTTCACCATCGTAGCAGACACAGTTAGTCAGTTCACCATCGAGCAGACACAGTTAGTCAGTTCACCATCGTAGCAGACACAGTTAGTCAGTTCACCATCGAGCAGACACAGTTAGTCAGTTCACCATCGTAGCAGACACAGTTAGTCAGTTCACCATCGTAGCAGACACAGTTAGTCAGTTCACCATCATAGCAGACACAGTTAGTCCATTCACCATCGTAGAAGACACAGTTAGTCAGTTCACCATCGTAGAAGACAGTTAGTCAGTTCACCATCGAGCAGACAGAGTTAGTCAGTTCACCATCATAGCAGACACAGTTAGTCAGTTCACCATCGTAGCAGACACAGTTAGTCAGTTCACCATCGAGCAGACACAGTTAGTCAGTTCACCATCATAGCAGACACAGTTAGTCAGTTCACCATCATAGCAGACACAGTTAGTCAATTCACCATCGAGCAGACACAGTTAGTCAGTTCACCATCATAGCAGACACAGTTAGTCAGTTCACCATCATAGCAGACACAGTTAGTCAATTCCAATATTGTTCTTCACTAACATGACAAGGTTCTGGGGTATTTTCATTGTAGACAACATTTTTACAAAAAATAGATGAATAGGATGAATCCTTGTCTCCTGATGGATGAGTCACTCTCTCTTCCTCCCTCCCTCTCTTCCTCCCTCCCTCTCTTCCTCCCTCCCTCCTTCTCTCCCTCCGTTCCCCTAATCTTGTGCAGGCTTCTATATTTAGTCACTGGCAGGATGCCCTTCATGACAGGTAGGCCAGGCAGCATCAGCCTTGAGCTCACTCTCACTGGAGCCCACTCTGTCTTTCTCTATCAGTGTGGGCCCCAAAAGATGAACTGCATCACTGAGAGAGATAGAGGGACTGGATGGGGAAGCATTACTCCTCTTAGAAGCCAATTCCAAGATATCATCTGCTAACGGAAATTGCACTGTCACTGCCTCTCACAACCTCTGACATGAAAAGTCAATATGAGGACGATTGAGTACATTCCCATAAATTCACATTATCATCACTTGTTTGAAGATGAAAATAATTGCCACTCAGCAATACACACAGACACAGACACACACACACACAGACACACACACAGACACACAGACACACACACAGACAGTGACGTAGACCCCCCCCCCCCCCCCCCCCCCCCCCCCCCCGTACTTCGCGTGCGGGTGACTCAGCACAGTTCTTGTGAGGAGGAGGAGAGACAATATTATTTCTCATATCATCACGTCACTCACACACGCTCTATCCCTCACTCCCAGGGTATCACTCTAATCATCAGCCTGTTTATCTTTCATTACCGTTCAGAGAGATGAAAAGGAAGAGAGGAGTGAAGAGGAGGGAGGAGGGAGGAGGGAAAAAAAGGGATGACATCAAAGAGATTACAGGAAGGGTATTGGACGCATTGGAAGGGCATTGGAAGGGTATTGGACGCATTGGAAGGGCATTGGAAGGGTATTGGACGCATTGGAAGGGCATTGGAAGGGTATTGGACGCATTGGAAGGGTATTGGAAGGGTATTGGACGCATTGGAAGGGCATTGGAAGGGTATTGGACGCATTGGAAGGGTATTGGAAGGGTATTGGACGCATTGGAAGGGCAATGGAAGGGTATTGGACGCATTGGAAGGGCATTGGAAGGATATTGGACGCATTGGAAGGGCATTGGAAGGGTATTGGAAGGGCATTGGAAGGACATTGGAGAGACTACCAATAACAAAACATTTTATGAAAAATAAGACGTTTCCTTTAATAATATCTGGAACATTGTATCATGGTCGTTTGTTTTTAACATTTCCTGGTAGTATTAACATCTTCAATAGGACAGTATGCTTTGTTTACATAGACATCAAATTGATTAATCAGACATAATATAGGCCTACTCTGACACAAAACTGCATGGTACAAACAGTTGCACACTTACATTAGATAGGGCACAAATGGTGTAGCAGCAAAAATAGTATCAGTGTTATACACATTACAATGCATTTGTAATTGTAAAGTATGTAACATGGGAGTATAATTGGAATGAATAACAAGACAAGACATTCTAAAGTATGCTCTACATCATACACAAGATGGTGGTTGGTTATAAGACATTATAAGATATTATTATGTACTTTTAGTCAGGGTCTGCCTGCTATAGCTGAGTATAAGACAGTGGGGGCTAGAATGGGTCTACCTGGACAGTCTACAGTATATAGGGTATGTCCTAGACTCGCTTTGTCAAACTCATGGGTCTACAACACAGTGGCTGAGGGAAGCAACCAGCACATTCATATTGGATATTTCATGGACATGGGTAGTTTATTACTGTATGAATGGAGCATATAGTCCCTTCTCCAAGTGTCTTTCTGTAACTGGCAAGTTTCCTGGTGATCATTTTAGTTACACATTAGAATGTATGTTGTGTTCTATTTTGTGGCCATTGAGACCTCTCTCCCTGTTTCAAATTCTACACAGGTGGCGATATGCCTCATGTCTACATAACGGTATTAGTCGGCCACCCAGAGGGACTCTTTATGTAGACAGATTAAGGACAAACAAAAACAAAACAAAGAAACATGCCACAATATACAACATCTATTAAGTCAACAGGACAAAATTATGCCAAAATATAACAAATTATACAAAGAAAATGAAGTAGAAAAAACATTTGGACTTATTTAGACTTATATTGCATTCATTTCTAATCAGAAGTGTGTGTGTGTGTGTGTGTGTGTGTGTGTGTGTGAACCCTTGGACTATAGCCAGGCCTCATCATTGTCATTCCCCCCACAGCCCCGTCGGCGTGAACAGCTCTTTCACTCCGGAGCGGAGAGATGGAGACAAAAACCAAATCAAACAAATGACAGAAAACCCCTCAGTGATCCAGCCTGTGACCATACGCTGGGAATGAGAGACTAACGGCGGCTGGGTAACCCATCTGTGTCATTCAGTGTGTGGAACACACAGATACAGTCTATGCACACAGATACAGTCTATGCACACAGATACAGTCTATGCACACAGATACAGTCTATGCACACAGATACAGTCTATGCAGCTATTCAACTCACTTAGCTATAGGTCCATGGTGGTGCAGCCTGATGGCTTCATACACACAACACATAGCTGGTACGTGTGTGTGTGTGTGCATGTGTGTGTGTGTGTACGTGTGTGTGCATGTGCATGTGTCCGTTCACTATTCTATATCCTTACTGCACTTTAATGACTTGACCCTGGAATCATTCTCCTATCGGAGTCTCCCTGTACAAAAACTATAACACGTGTATCAATATCAGGATCATCATAACTGTTGCCATTGTCTTTTCGCAAAACAGTCCAACAGCAGTTCATGGGCAACACTGACCCACCGTGTCTATGAAGAAGACAACAAAACTCATCATGAACGTGTCTGTTATATCTGATCTGTGATCAGTCTCTAAATCCTCTTCATGTCCAAAGTTCCAATGTCCCATACAGCATCGGAGGTGTGAGTGTTGAATTCTGGCTGGTCCACAACTAACGTCCTGGCCACCCACTGCCTCACATCACCCTCATGTTACCGGACATCTAAACGGTGCTTTACATTTGGTCCCATCATTTACCCTTGTGAAGGAGAGAGTGTTCCATACATGCTGACTGGACGATAGCAGCTAAACGCCTGAAGAAGCTGTGTGATGATGAGACTGACTGACTGCACATATACAGATACAGATCTAGACACAGTTGGTGCACATGTACATATATTTACGTTGTAATACTGCACTGACTTGGTGTTTCTGGAGGACAAGGAAGGGGATAGTTAGGGGTACATCCCCCACTCATATTTTGTTACCCAGACTTCCGCTGAGCATGGATGAGAGTGAGTTTGGAACCAGCGGAGAGACAGAGAGAGAGAAAGAGCATCACCACCTCCAGGCCTCACATCTAAAACAAAAATGAAACAAGAGAGAGAGTTCAAATCAGATTGATTAAATGCATAATGTTTGGTTGTGGTTTAGCCATGTTGAATGTGGTTGTGATGCATGGTCATGGTTGGTACTTTATCTGTGGTAGTGGTCCGAGCTCTCCTTCTATAGCTCTGGTTCTGATGGTGGTTTGCTGTCACTGGACACTGACCTGCAGAGGTGCTGGTTGAGTCTTCTCCCTTTCTGACTGCATTTCTCTGCGGTCACGTTGCAGCGACACCGACACAAATGCAAATCGAGTGTCCACTTCCTCCCAGGACAGGGGGTACATCGAGGGCCTGGCAAGGGAGACGGGGTGGTGGGGGGAGGAGAGGGTGTAGTGGGGGGAGGAGAGGGTGTAGTGGGGGGAGAGGAAGGTCTGGGGTGGTAAAGAGAATAGTCACTTAATTTATGAATATAATAAATACAGCAACTTTAAACAGACACCAGTGGCTTTCAAACCTGATGTTCCACATAGTAGACTTCCCCTCGTCTGAGAGGCTCTTTAATGTGCCATTGGCTGGGACTCCCATTAGGGAGTTAACCTCAGTCTGTGTCTGTCTAAGTGAGCCCATCCATGGCTGAGTTAACTCACCCTGGCCTGTCTGGGAGGCTAATGGACTTCTTTAATGAAGTGATTTAATTAATGAAGCAGAGACAAAGAGGACATCTGTGTGTGGGCCTGACTTACTGAGTGGTCATGGCTGGTGAAAAATATGGGTTGTTTATGAATTCGAAGGACCAATAAAAAGGGATTAAAAAAACGTAGGTGCTGGATTTTAGGCCGGTAGCAACCACCACAGGGTGTCCGTTCAGAACACGAGGAAGCAGTAGTTCCAGTTCAAGGTTTAATGAAGATCCACACACACACAACACCACTCTCTCTGATTCTAATTGTTATTTAGCTGCACGCACAATAAACATCCGAAAGAAAAGCAATTTCAGGAGAGAAAAACAGGTTGGTCATCAGAATGGAAACTACAGATTGCCTGAGGCCCTGCCTGGTCGGGTATTACGTTCAGTCCCGGAAAAAAAGACTGCTGATTGGCTAATAAAATTATGATGATTGGCGTAACCTTATTCCAATAGGAAAACCAAAAGAAAGTTGGGGTCTTGGAAAGGAGATGAGCTGGTCGTTTTTACAGCTGGGCTGCCACCGAGAGGGAGGGAGGAGGTGGTGGCTGTGTTGCCACAGAGAGAGAGGGAGGAGGTGGTGGCTGGGTTGCCACAGAGAGAGAGGGAGGAGGTGGTGGCTGGGTTGCCACAGAGAGAGAGGGAGGAGGTGGTGGCTGGGTTGCCACAGAGAGAGAGGGAGGAGGTGGTGGCTGGGTTGCCACAGAGAGAGAGGGAGGAGGTGGTGGCTGGGTTTCCACAGAGAGAGAGAGAGGAGGTGGTGGCTGGGTTGCCACAGAGAGAGAGGGAGGAGGTGGTGGCTGGGTTGCCACAGAGAGAGAGGGAGGAGGTGGTGGCTGGGTTGCCACAGAGAGAGAGGGAGGAGGTGGTGGCTGGGTTGCCACAGAGAGAGAGGGAGGAGGTGGTGGCTGGGTTGCCACGAGAGAGAGAGGGAGGTGGGTGGCTGGGTTGCCACGAGAGAGAGGAGGAGGTGGTGGCTGGGTTGCCACAGAGAGAGAGGAGGAGGTGGTGGCTGGGTTGCACAGAGAGAGAGGGAGGAGGTGGTGGCTGGGTTGCCACAGAGAGAGAGGGAGGAGGTGGTGGCTGGGTTGCCACAGAGAGGAGGGAGGAGGTGGTGGCTGGGTTGCCACAGAGAGAAGAGGAGGTGGTGGCTGGGTTGCACAGAGGAGGATGGGGTGGTTGCCACAGAGAGAGAGGAGGAGGAGGTGGTGCTGGGTTGCCACAGAGAGAGAGGGAGGAGGTGGTGGCTGGGTTGCCACAGAGAGAGAGGGAGGAGGTGGTGGCTGGGTTGCCACAGAGAGAGAGGGAGGAGGTGGTGGCTGGGTTGCCACAGAGAGAGAGGGAGGAGGTGGTGGCTGGGTTGCCACAGAGAGAGGGAGGAGGTGGTGGCTGGGTTGCCACAGAGAGAGAGGGAGGTGGTGGCTGGGTTGCCACAGAGAGAGGGAGGATGGTGGTGGCTGGGTTGCCACAGAGAGAGAGGAGGTGGTGGCTGGGTTTGCCACAGAGAGAGAGGGAGGAGGTGGTGGCTGGGTTGCCACAGAGAGAGAGGGAGGAGGTGGTGGCTGGGTTGCCACAGAGAGAGGGAGGAGGTGGTGGCTGGGTTGCCACAGAGAGAGGGAGGAGGTGGTGGCTGGGTTGCCACAGAGAGAGAGGATGTGGTGGCTGGGTTGCCACAGAGAGAGAGGGAGGAGGTGGTGTCTGGGTTGCCACAGAGAGAGGGAGGAGTGGTGGCTGGGTTGCCACAGAGAGAGAGGGGTGGTGCTGGGTTTGCCACACGAGAGAGAGGATGTGGTGGCTGGGTTGCCACAGAGAGAGAGGGAGGAGGTGGTGGTCTGGGTTGCCACAGAGAGAGAGGGAGGAGGTGGTGGCTGGGTTGCCACAGAGAGAGAGGGAGGAGGTGGTGGCTGGGTTGCCACAGAGAGAGGGAGGAGGTGGTGGCTGGGTTGCCACAGAGAGAGAGGGAGGAGGTGGTGGCTGGGTTGCCCACAGAGAGAGGGAGGAGGTGGTGGACTGGGTTGCCACAGAGAGAGAGGAGGAGGTGGTGGCTGGGTTGCCACAGAGAGAGGGAGGAGGTGGTGGCTGGGTTGCCACAGAGAGAGAGGATGGTGGTGGCTGGGTTGCCACAGAGAGAGAGGAAGTGGTGGCTGGGTTGCCACAGAGAGAGAGGAGGTGGTGGCTGGGTTGCCACAGAGAGAGAGAGAGGAGGTGATGGCTGGGTTGCCACAGAGAGAGAGAGAGGAGGTGGTGGCTGGGTTGCCACAGAGAGAGAGAGAGGAGGTGGTGGCTGGGTTGCCACAGAGAGAGAGGGAGGAGGTGGAATTGATGAAAAAGAAGAAGGGCTGAATTCTGCTCTCTGGGTGGAGCGATTTTCTGGGAATTATGTGCGCATACCCAGAGAGAAACAGACACTTGCTTAGACTTGTGCAAAAAGCTTTATGTAAATGGAGAAAGAAGCAATAACTCAGGGGTTAATTAAGCATGTTTAGTTGAACTTACATAGTTTTGATAGTTCCACTTTTCTTTCGTTTGGATTTTCCTCTCTCCCTTTTCCTGCCTTTCCTCAGAGGCTTTGCAGGCCTGTTAGTCAGAGACATACATCTGTGTCAAACAACAATTCATCCCAATAGCAGATCAAAATCTAAATAGATACATTATAGACTTTTTGAGTTAAATGTCTCTAATTCAATTTTTTGGGGATTCCCTTAGAGTCCAACAGCCTTATTAGAAAATAAAATGTCTGCCTCTGTCTCCCTTTAAAGCTGTCTCTACCCCTTTTCACTCTTTCCCTCTATCCCTCTGTTCTCACTCTTTCCCTAACTTTCCCTCTCTGTGAGCCTTGACCTCTGTCCAGCTATGTTGGTCTAAGGCCAGCTAGTTACTCTGCCACTCAGACAGGGGTGGGCTGGGGCTTCCAAACATGTGACATTGATGTTTCTATCTGCTTTGGTAATCCCTCTCAGAGCACTCACTCAGCACGAAGGCTAATAATATAATATAATAATAATAATAATAATATGCCATTTAGCAGACGCTTTTATCCAAAGCGACTTACAGTCATGTGTGCATACATTTTTACGTATGGCTGGTCCCGGGGATCGAACCCACTACCCTGGTGTTACAAGCGCCATGCTCTACCAATTGAGCTACAGAGGACCACATCTCTATGGAGACACATCTCTATGGAGACAGTGGCATGTGAACTGTCCCATGGGATATTAGGCTAGCGCTCAAGCATCACAGACGCTAAATCACTAAGCTAGAGGTGCAGACAGAGGTACACAGAAACAGACCCAAACACAGACACACACTAACAGACACACAGTAACAGACACACACCAACAGACAGACACTAACAGACAGACACTAACAGACAGACACTAACAGACAGACACTAACAGACAGACACTAACAGACAGACACACACACACACACACTGACAAACACTCTCCGACACACACAATGACAGACACACACACACACACACTAACAGACGCACACTAACAAACACACTGACACTCTGACAAACACTCTCTGACAAACACACACAGACACACACACACACACACAGACACACACACAGACACACACTAACAGACACACACTGACAAACACTCTTTGACAAACACTCTCTGACAAACACTCTCTGACAAACACTCTCTGACAAACACACATGTACACATACAGCCACATACATTCAGTACTCTACCTGGTAGGGGCTGATTGAAGATCCTCTTTTAGTCTACAGGGAGAGAGAGCGGGTTATTTGAGGACACACACTGAGAGAATACAGTCATGCATAGACCGTGTGTGTGTGTGTGCGTGTGTGTGTGTGTGTGTGTGTGTGTGTGTGTGTGTGTGTGTGCTCACCTGCACTCACACTGGCTGTGCTCAACGAAGTCCAGCTCGATGAGCTCATGCTTCATAAAGGAGGTCTTCATTAGCTGCAGAGGACAAAGAAACAAACTACAGTTACTAATCATTATGTGTGTGTGTGTATATGTGTATACCTCCATGGTGATAGTTTGTGTGAGTGTGGACCTCCATGGTGATAGTTTGTGTGAATGTGTACCTCCATGGTGAGAGAGTGTGTGAGTGTGGACCTCCATGGTGAGAGAGTGTGTGTGAGTGTGTACCTCCATGGTGAGAGAGTGTGTACCTCCATGGTGAGAGAGTGTGTGAGTGTGTACCTCCATAGTGATAGTTTGTGTGAGTGTGTACCTCCATGGTGATAGTTTGTGTGAGTGTGTACCTCCATGGTGATAGTTTGTGTGAGTGTGTACCTCCATGGTGATAGTTTGTGTGAGTGTGTACCCCCATGGTGATAGTTTGTGTGAGTGTGTACCTCCATGGTGAGAGAGTGTGTGAGTGTGTCCCTCCATGGTGATAGTTTGTGTGAGTGTGTACCTCCATGGTGAGAGAGTGTGTACCTCCATGGTGATAGTTTGTGTGAGTGTGTACCTCCATGGTGATAGTTTGTGTGAGTGTGTACCTCCATGGTGAGAGAGTGTGTACCTCCATGGTGATAGTTTGTGTGAATGTGTACCTCCATGGTGAGAGAGTGTGTGAGTGTGGACCTCCATGGTGAGAGAGTGTGTGTGAGTGTGTACCTCCATGGTGAGAGAGTGTGTACCTCCATGGTGAGAGAGTGTGTGAGTGTGTACCTCCATAGTGATAGTTTGTGTGAGTGTGTACCTCCATGGTGAGAGAGTGTGTGAGTGTGTACCTCCATAGTGATAGTTTGTGTGAGTGTGTACCTCCATGGTGATAGTTTGTGTGAGTGTGTACCTCCATGGTGATAGTTTGTGTGAGTGTGTACCTCCATGGTGATAGTTTGTGTGAGTGTGTACCCCCATGGTGATAGTTTGTGTGAGTGTGTACCTCCATGGTGAGAGAGTGTGTGAGTGTGTCCCTCCATGGTGATAGTTTGTGTGAGTGTGTACCTCCATGGTGAGAGAGTGTGTACCTCCATGGTGATAGTTTGTGTGAGTGTGTACCTCCATGGTGATAGTTTGTGTGAGTGTGTACCTCCATGGTGATAGTTTGTGTGAGTGTGTACCCCCATGGTGATAGTTTGTGTGAGTGTGTACCTCCATGGTGATAGTTTGTGTGAGTGTGTACCTCCATGGTGATAGTGTGTGTGAGTGTGTACCTCCATGGTGAGAGAGTGTGTACCTCCATGGTGATAGTTTGTGTGAGTGTGTACCTCCATGGTGATAGTTTGTGTGAGTGAGGGCACACACTCCAGTGCCTCGTCGGAGCAGCACCCGCCACAGCGGCGGACCGACACACAGGAGGGCACGAAGAGGTGATGCGTCTCCCCCGGCAACTCCCTCCACACCTCCACCAGGTTATCCCTGGGCTCACAACCACTCCGAGAGTACACCTCCAACCACCGACGCACTGGAGGGAAGGAGAGCGAGAGACTTCAGATGCATGAGTTTGACAAGGTCACTAACACATCACAAATCTAGTCATAATGTATTCATTCTCACTTTATGAATCTCACATCTGTTATTCATACACACAAAGTGACTCATCATCAGCCTCTTCACATACAATGCCTTCGGAAAGTATTCAGACCCCTTGACTTTTTCCACATTTTGTTACGTTACAGCCTTTTTCTAAAATTGATTAAATTGTATTTTTTCCTCATCAATCTACACACAATATCCAATAATGACAAAGCGAAAATAGGTTTTTCGACATTTACATAAGTATTAAGACCCTTTACTCAATGATTTGTTAAAGCACCTTTGGCAATGATTACAGCATCGAGCTACAAGCTTGGCACACCTGTATTTGGGGAGTTTCTCCCATTCTTCTCTGCAGATCCTCTCAAGCTCTGTCAGGTTGGATGGGGAGCGTTGCTGCACAGCTATTTTCAGGTCTATCCAGAGATGTTCGATCGGGTTCAAGTCCGGGCTCTGGCTGGGCCACTCAAGGATATTCAGAGACTTGTCCCGAAGCCACTCCTGAGTTGGCTTGACTGTGTGCTTCGGGTCATTGTCCTGTTGGAAGGTGAACCTTTGCCCCAGTCTGAGGTCCTGAGCGCTCTGGAGCAGGTTTTCATCAAGAATCTCTTTGTCTGATAGTCTTTAGGTGCCTTTTGGCAAACTCCAAGTGAGCTGTCATGTGCCTTTTACTGAGGAGTGGCTTCCGTCTGGCCACTCTACCATAAAGGCCTGATTGGTGAAGTGCTGCAGAGATGGTTGTCCTTCTGGAAATTTCTCCCATCTCCACAGAGGAACTCTAGACCTCTGTCAGAGTGACCATCGGGTTCTTGGTCACCTCCCTGACCAAGACCCTTCTCCCCCGGTTGCTCAATTTGGCCGGGTGGCCAGCTCTAGGAAGGGTCTTGGTGGTTCCAAACTTCTTCCATTTAAGGATGATGGAGGCCACTGTGTTCTTGGGGACCTTCAATGCTGCAGAAATTTTTTAGTACCCTTCCCCAGATCTGTTCATCGAAACAATCCTGTCTCGGAGCTCTACGGACAATTCCTTCGACCTTATGGGTTGGTTTTTGCTCTGACATGCACTGTCAACTGTGGGACCTTATATAGACAGGTGTGTGCCTTTCCAAATCATGTCCAATCAATTGAATTGACACAGGTGGACTCCAATCAAGTTGTAGAAACATCTCAAGGATGATCAATGGAAACAGGATGCACCTGAGCTCAATTTCGAGTCTCATAGCAAAGGGTCTGAATCCTTATGTAAATAAGGTATTTATGTTTTAAGATTTTAATACATTTGCATTTTAATATGTTTTCGCTTTGTCATTATGGGGTATTGTGTGTAGATTGCTGAGGATTATAATTTTTTAAGTAAAGGGGTCTGAATACTTTCCGAAGACACTGTATGCTGGTGTGATTATCGGGGGGGGGGGGGGGGGGGGGGGGGAGAGTACCTTCTCTAGATTTGGGGGTGGTGTCTGCAGGTCTCCAGTGGGCTAGCTGGAAGAGGAGTGGCAGAAGAAGATGTGTGTCAGGTGGAAAATCCCTGCATGTTTTTAACCTTATATACAGTGAAGGCAGCCCTAGTACCTCACAGCCCCTAATACCCTACAGCCCCTAGCACCCTACAGCCCCTAGTACCTCACAGCCCCGAGTACCTCACAGCCCCTAGAACCTCACAGCCCCGAGTACCTCACAGCCCCTAGCACCCTACAGCCCTAGTACCGCACAGCCCCTAGTACCCTACACCCCCTAGCACCCTACAGCCCCTAGTACCTCACAACCCCTAGTACCTCACAGCCCCTAGTACCCTACAGCCCTAGTACCCTACAGCCCCTAGTACCTCACAGCCCTAGTACCCTACAGCCCTAGTACCCTACAGCCCCTAGTACCTCACAGCCCCTAGTACCTCACAGCCCCTAGTACCTCACAGCCCCTAGTACCTCACAGCCCCTAGCACCCTACAGCCCCTAGTACCTCCAAGCCCCTAGTACCTCACAGCCCCTAGTACCTCACAGCCCCTAGTACACTACAGCCCCTAGTACCTCACAGACCCTAGCACCCTACAGCCCCTAGTACCTCACAGCCCCTAGTACCTCACAGCCCCTAGTACCTCACAGCCCCTAGCACCCTACAGCCCCTAGTACCTCACAGCCCCTAGTACCTCACAGCCCCGAGTACATCACAGCCCCAGTACCTCACAGCCCTGAGTACCTCACAGCCCTAGTACCGCACAGCCCCTAGTACCCTATAGCCCGAGTACCCTACAGCCCCAGTACCCTACAGCCCCTAGTACCCTACAGCCCCTAGTACCCTACAGCCCTAGTACCCTACAGCCCCTAGTACCCTACAGCCCCTAGTACCCTACAGCCCCGAGTACCCTACAGCCCCTAGTACCCTACAGCCCTAGTACCCTACAGCCCTGAGTACCCTACAGCCCCTAGTACCCTACAGCCCTGAGTACCCTACAGCCCTGAGTACCCTACAGCCCTGAGTACCCTACAGCCCTAGTACCCTACAGCCCCTAGTACCCTACAGCCCTACAGCCCTGAGTACCCTATAGCCCTAGTACCCTACAGCCCTAGTACCCTACAGCCCCTAGTACCCTATAGCCCTGAGTACCCTATAGCCCTGAGTACCCTACAGCCCTAGGACCCTACAGCCCTAGTACCCTACAGCCCCTAGTACCCTACAGCCCTAGTACCCTACAGCCCCTAGTACCCTACAGCCCCTCGTACCCTCTCATGCTCTACACTGACACCAAATACCTTAGCCAGATGAATACCACACAAAATACATACTACTTAGTTTACGCACACACACACACTCTCTCTCACACACACAATCTCAAACACAGGCACGCACAGACGCACGCACGCACACACACACCACACACCCACACCCACCCACGCAACGTCATTATTAGGTCTGAGTGGACCAAGGCCACTGCTGAGAGAATGTAGACTTTGCCCAATTGCCCCCCTTTCAACCGCCCCACCCCCCTACCCTGCCCCCGTGCTCTATCGACAGTTTCTGGTATGGTTCCATTTGATTCAGAGTTCACCGATGTGTGTGTGGCCATTTTGTGAACACATATACTGTAGTACGTGTCTGAGCAACAAGAAACATGTCAGATCACACTGGTGTTTCATTCATATCACAAATCGATCAGTACACAACATCCCCCGGAGTAGGGCGGGCTATAGCTCCACAGACTGGCCCCTAGAAGGAGTAGGGTGGGCTATAGCTCCACAGACTGGCCCCTAGAAGGAGTAGGGTGGGCTATAGCTCCACAGACTGGCCCCTAGAAGGAGTTGATACTGTCACCCCAAGTGTGTGTTTCTGTATTGCTTTTCCCAGAGGAGACTATTCCCCTTCCAGTCTGGTTGGATCTGATCCTGTCTGACACTGGAATTGGCACACTCTCACTCTCTCTGTGTTTCTCTCTCTGACACAGACACACACACACACACTTGCTCTCTCTCAAACACACACAAGTAATCTAAACAGTGCCAGCCAAGCTCTTGCAGCAGCCCACACAATGCCAGCTGCAGAGTCTTACACCCTCTAACTGCCAAATACTTATTTCCCTCATTAAAATGCAAATCAATTTATAACATTTTTGACATGCGTTTTGCTGGATTGTTTTGTTGTTATTCTGTCTCTCACTGTTCAAATAAACCTACCATTAAAATTATAGACTGATAATTTCTTTGTCAGTGGGCAAACATACAAAATCAGCAGGGGATCAAATACTATTTTCCCTCACTGTATGTGTGCGCGTGCGACAGAGAGAGAGAGAGATTGGGCCCCAATGCAACATGATTCCCAGGACCTCCAACCTGATATATCCCATGGCCACGCAGCTCAATCAGGGCAGCTTCAGGCCACTACATGTTCTTGATATGAAAACACCAGACATAAATAAAACCAATCTGCCATGTGAAGAGCTGTGTGTTTGAGAGTCTATGGAGACTATTATGTTGGCAAATTATTATCTATCCCCATATGTCACTCATGTACAGTACATCTGCCTTGTGTTACAAAGTACATGCCAGTCAGTCTGGCAGAGTTGTGTCACATTGTGCCTATCCATACATGGTACATGAGTCTACCATTAGTCAACATGGTACATATGTCTAGGAGAGAGTGAGAGGTGCACCACATAATTCCATAAAGCTTTGTAAGCTCAGAGCGTCAATGACCATGGGGGTAAGCTCCAAACACACAAAGATCAGTTTAAAATATTAGAAAGAAATAGGCTATACTGCTACTAAAGTCACTGTATTCATTTTCTTCCTATCTTTATTTTCCCTTCAAATAAACTAGATGTTTTGTAGCATAATACAAAGGAATAAAACAAATCTAAACTCCTGAGATTCCCATGCAGACAATAGTCTAAAATAGTGTAGTGAGTTATCTGACATACCTTGGCATGGGACGTGGGTATTCTGGAGAGCAAGAGGAACTGAAACATTCCTAGAATAACTTGAAGCATAATCCCCATTGTGCAGTACACCAAAAAGAACGCCAAAATTTTCGTCAATGAATTGGTTATTTTCTTTAGTTTTTTCTCTCCACTTAATCAATATTCCATCTGTAGTCCTTAGGTTCCATTTTATGTATTGACAGCCGGGGTGGCATTCCCATACCGTTCGTTAAGCATGAACGTGAAATGTATTAATTTGATACAAATAAGGAATGATGAAGCCGTCTATAGCAAATGAGTAGGCTAACACTCCAATGATTGGCTTGAAACTGTAACTTAATTCATCAATATTTGCACAATGTATTTGGCTACAATGTAACAATTTATAATCTAATGCCATCAATCGGCTTAATCATTCTTGGCAATCAAGCGCACAAATTTGATGCCTGCATATTGACAAATAGCCTAATTTAATAAATCTCAGTCGTTCACATTCAATTCAATACAGTTTGGTTGCATTTATTTTACTGAGAGTTGTGTGAACTTTGAATGATGGCCCCCAATATTCCAAAGCCAGAGGTTTGGGTCTGTAAGCCGGTTACATTCGCCCATTGTTGGCCAGAAACCCATGAAACGGTCCGTGGGTGAGCGTCAGTAGTGGCGTGACTACAGGTCCATTTATAGTCCCGATAAGATATTTTGCGATATTGTATCCTTGTCTCTAAAAACGTTTAAAAAGGACAAATATCCCTTATTTACGATCCAACACGAATGTCTTGAATCACATAGGCTATGGTGCCGAACGCACATTTCATGACACTGCGTAGCCTATCCACAGCGGTGTCTCTGAGAAATAGCCTAGATGACGTTTCGTTGAAGAAGCTTGTGCCGCCGCGACTTATCCTTTTGTCCTCTTTGATAATAACATATTGAAGTTCATGGTGCCAGAGCAGTCCACAAAGAGAATGGTCCTTGACAGCGTCTCTTGGTTTGTTATGATTGGTTGCTCATGTCCTTTGCCCTTCAGATCACAATTAAAAGGCGCACTCCAAATTCCGCGTAACCGTTGCACTGCCAACTTTTTCAAAATGACATGGACGCACTCGCGCACTGGAGACAGGTGAACGTCGCCCTTCAATTCGTCATTCAGCAGGTCAGTCAATCATTTACCACTCCACTTTCTCAGCCACATAATACATTTTTAATAATGATACAATAAAGGGGGTAATTTTATTGCACTAAGATCTCTTTATATCATTCACCCAAATCCAAATTCAACTCCAAGCTCTCTCTCTCTCTCACAGACAGACATAAAACACACCAACCAATAACTGATCACCCCCAGTGAATTGATATTAATAATTTATTTGGAAAGAATAATACATTTGCCCAACTCATTTAGGTCACAGTCAGAGGATTACAAAACCTCTATCAGCAGCACAGACAGTGAACCCTGTATCCCATCAGTTTGTCTTTACATCGACAGAAGAGTCTCTTGTCAGTGTGGTGGTGTGTTTGGGTTATGAGGGGGCACTCGTGCACTACATGGGGGATGTCGGTATGCGGGGACCTGTTATCTCCTGTGGTTTCAGCTAAGGGCTTGAGAAACAACACAAGGCCATTGAGTCATTAACACACTCTGCACCCCATGTTTTTCAACACCCCAAACCTGACAGGACATGTGAGAGTGGAATCAGGTGAGAAACAAGCTCAAAATAAAACCCTGGATGTTGTTGGTTGAGATCAGAGGAACAGTGTTTATTTACCTATTCATCATTGCATGAATCCACATGACACCAGGAAGAGTTAAGGCTGTCATTAAACATCACTGAAACACAATCTGTGACTTATGGTAAGTGTCCATTGGCCGTCACCACAGCAATAAATGAAATACATTTCTAATCTCAGAAATGTGAATCTGGCCACGCGGCACTTCAGTACTTTCCATAGTATAATTAACATTCCTAAAATGAATTCTTCAACATCAGACAAGTGCACAATTAAATACTATTTTAAAAAGTCATAATATTACTTAATTTTCAAATTTCTCTTGATTCCATGTCCTTTCAATAGGAAATAATATATTATATCTAGGGACAGTTTTTCCTCATCACATAACCAGGAAAAGCTGTAGGCCTTAAATATTGCATGTAGGTAACATTGTCAGGAAAAACTCTTGTCCTGAAAAGTATATTTTTATGACTGTATTTGGGTCCACCTTAGCCCCAGTAGCAGTGTCAAGAGTTCCATGATATCATTGACACACAGAGGCACAATGACTGAATCCCATTGGTTCAATGGCAGCTGTGCAGAACACCCCCTATCTGTCATTAAGGGATTCTATCTTTGATTAGTCTTTACAGTACGCAACCATAGACTTACATTACGCAACACTGAAGTTTTACTGTATCCGGAATGCCCCATCTCCAGTGGGAAAACTCACAGTCCCATGAACCTCGTTGAGACTGCCTCTGCACAGCCGTGGGGGAAACGGCATGTCAATGGCATGCAAACCAATTAGCAACTGGCTAACAGGAGTCTTGGTTCCATCCAATAGGGGAAGGGATGTGCTGCTAATGACCGTGTCCTACTGCTGTTAGTCTTGTGATACCAGACCAAACCTCCACAACGTATTCTCCTTCTGGAGAAACCTAGAATGGCTGTGGGGCGAGACTTTACTGTGACAAAGACATGTACCCCATTACTGTTCCCGTTTCACCCAGGTATTACACATTATGTTTTTAACTCCTCAGCTTAGTATCCGAGGTCCAAGCAAACTTGAGCTGTGCACATCAACAACGTTTGCCACAAAACCATTTAAAAAAGCTAACTACTCCTAACTCATTCAACCGTTCACTCCCCTTCCTGACCGACTCCATTCCTCTCCAGAGGCCTTCGGCCAACTCAATCCCCCTTGTTTTAAGATGTACTCTTATTCTACTAAACTCCTACTTGCCCTCTCCACTGTTGCGAGTGATTTTGTATTTCTCCAGGAACTCTGCATGTTTCTGTTTGAGAATCTCTGTCTGCTTCTTAAACCCGTTCACTCTGCGAAATCAAAATGAAGAAATATACAATCAGTTCCTGCCTCAGGTATATCATACCAACAAATCATATGAATACATATTCCATGCAATATTGATTATTACCACTACCGTAACTACAACAGTGTAATAACATGTAATAACTGGGTAATAAGTCATAATACATGTAATAATATGTTTCACACACCTTGCCCTCTCTTTGGACTCGTTGTAGATCTGTGTGATGACCGTCCTTCTCGTCCATGAAGTTGTTATGGACACACTCCAACTTTCTGTGTGACCGGAAGACAGAGAGACACCTGTCAGACAACACAGACGTCCACACAGCACACAGAGGAATAGCGTTGGCAGTTGAATTGGCATTTTCATTATTATTCATGTTTTATTATTCTGTACTAGTACAAATGTAAGTCATATACCAGGAAAAGTTGAATCTCTACAAACAATAAAAATGCTGCCAATTCAACGTGCAAAAACACAGATTACCAGATCTATGACAGCATAACCTGGGTCTGAGCCAGGGGCACCTGTGCCTACAGACAGACAGTTATCTGAGTCTCCAGACTATTTAGTCTAGACTATGAATGAGTAACAATATAGTAATAGCAGTAATAGGCAATTGTGACATTTTGGCACAGATGTTTGGCAGAATTCAGAAATGCATTTGGTTTAGGAGTGACAGATTACCTTCCTTGAACGTGACAGAATTACTGCATTTCTTATTTAACTATGAGAGTGTACATACATACATACAGTATCAATTTCACTCTGATCTTTCCCCATGATGTTACCTGAAGAGAACGTGAGCGCTGATGCTCAGTCACATGATGAGCATACAGTAGCTAACTATTCTAAAAGTTATTCTTCCTCCCCCACTCCTCAGCCATGGTCTCCTGAGGCTGAGAGCGTTTGAACTGATACCAGTAGCGCATACTCTCCTGAGCCTCCGCTCTGAGAGAGGGAGACAGAGAGAGGTAGACAGAGAGAGGGAGTCAGAGAGAGGGAGTCAGAGAGAGGGAGACCTTTCTGTGGTGGTGGGACAGCCAGCGGAAAATACGGAGCGTAGGGGTTGGTAATGTTCTCTAGTTGTACCATGATTGGCTCAGTGTTCTGTCATCTACGGGGAGAGCTCGTAAATTCAAGCCCCTTGGGTGCTGTCATAGAGTTACATTAGAAGTGCCCTTCCAAGAAGGCTCAAGATCATTGGCCACAGATAAAATGTAAAATCACGTTATATCTACCGTAGCTTTGATTGGACTGATCATGTCAACATCATACTTTCAAAATCTTAGCTAGCAGTCATCATCATGAATCAAGTCGACAATCTACTGGCAATCCTTTTCAATCCTTGTCATATGAAGATAAATTATGAAGAGAAATTATAGATAAAACGTATCGGTGCTCATCGGCCATTGGACATAAACGTTACACAACAAGTTGGAAATCAGTGGCTAACTGCAAGCATTGCAAAGCAATCAGTGGAGTGGGTGTGTGGTACAAGTCTCGGTTTAAGGGTCTCTTTTCCAAGCTTAAAAGGATAAACATTCAACATGGGTCATGCTGTCAATCCAGCATGACTTCTGCCATGTTCAAAACAACTGGAAACTCGGAACTGGGAAATCTCAGACTTCAGTGAGTTCAAGACAACTGGGAACTTCGAAAAAAACTAGCTCTGACTGGGAAAATACGTTTTGAATAGTCATCCAACTCGGAATTCAAAGTCGGGAACTCGGTCCTCTTTCTAGAGCTCTGACCTGAAGATCACTGACGTCATGATTCGACCTTGTTTTTTTTCCAGAGTTCCCAGTTGTCTTGAAAGCACCATAAATCCAGAGAATGCCAGACTTTGATGACAAAGTTTGATGACAAAATTCGCCCACAAAGACTGCCGCGCCACCTTCCTGTTCAAGTGACCACAGCACAACAAGGTGAGTCCAAAAATGTATTGTATGCTGCTGCATAAATGATGTAATATGCCAGGGAGATATGTATACTGTATGTAAGAAAGTAATACTAAGTGTATGTTGTGTAGTAAGCTGTTAGTAGCCCATGTGCCTCACCCTAATAATTTGGTCCCTTTCCTCCTCATAACTTAGCCTACTGTTCTGACGTGGTAGTGAACATGTAGCCTATAACCTGTTTTAGAGAAATGTAATCATCTAATATTGTAAGAGCTTTCATTGTCTGCTTATATGCCCCCTTTATTTATCCTACGGTTCTGACTTGGTGTACAGGGAGAACACTATAAGAACGGCCCATGTTCTGAATTCTGTTGCTGTACATTTCCAAAAGTGCTGAACAAATAGTTACATTGACTAGGTCCATCCTAGCTCACTCATTAATGTCTTAATCGAATTATGGATTGCCTCTTATCCGCTCGTCGTCCTCTTATGCCATAGTTTGTACATCTCAATTGTCAGTAGAAACCGCATTTGTTTAAGCAAGTCAGCCATATCAGCTATGTTTTTTTTAAAGGCAGTAAATTAGGCTGAATTAACTGTTGTCGCTGCCAGACAAGGCTCTGTTGACAGCCAGGTGTAGCAGTGGTAAGGATTCACTCCATGGTGCTGAAAAGAAAGCTCTGCTGTTGGGACAGCTTTATGTAGGCCCTAACAGTTTGTGGGCACCGTTTGTCACCGTTATAGTGCAATTCATGTATTGTTTAGTGTTGTGTTGTGTTCTGTAGTGGCTTTGCTGGCATGCATCAAAGAAAAAAATGTTTGGAGTTTTCCCCACCAAGATTTACATGCTAAAATTGACCACTGCTCACACAACACAGATATATACTGGTAAACATACTGTACAGCCCTGTTAACATAGAGATCCTCACAACAACAAAATAAATATAATATATTATACATGAACACCGTGGGAATGTCATGTTGGAAGAAAGTAGAAAAATACTGTGCAAGAGTGCACTCGTGTGGTTGGACAGAGATGCTGCAATATAAACTGTCATGCAACAAACCCTAAATCTGTGCTGCTTGAACTGTGCCTTTCCTACATTTACTAAGTATGTGAAGCTTTTAAATGATAGGCTAGGAGATTGTCGTACCTTTTTTGATTTGTCAAAAAATGCATTCTTTATTTGCTCTAGTGAGGCATCAGGTTTTACACCAAGAAGGTTGTACTAGTTTACTGCCGCTCTGCAATGAGACACAATGAATGCTAATTAAACAGAGTGACAACACACAGTACTGGGATCACGGGCCCGGACTGGAAAGCTTTTAACAACTGAGGAATCATTGTGTAAGACCAATCAGAAAGGCTAAATCTGATTATTATGTAACCACTCATTCGGATTGTAATGGGAACCTGGCAAAATTCAGGAAAAAAACTGTCAAATCCCTGAAGGATTCTACTTCCTCCTCTCTGCCACAACAAATTAATTCAGACACTGGCCTCATTACGGGGAAAAAATGCCATCATTGATGCATTTAATCACTATTTCATTTCAGCGGCTATCTCTTTGAAAGAACTTCTAAGCCTATTCACAATGTTATTGGGCTGGATGCTGATTGGGTAAACTTACTGAATGATCAGAGAAATTATAGTTAAAGCTTTTCTTTTAGTCTATTTACAGAAAAAGAAGTCTGGATGCTTTGCTACAAATAGACAAGAGATCCACAGAGGCTGACCAATTGGATCCCGGTCTGCTTAAGTGTGCAGCGCCTGTCATTGTTGGCTCAATAACCCATATTTTTTATTTAACATTGTTATCAAGAAATATTCCAAAAGTATGGAAATCAGCTCTGGTGCTGCCACTCCATAAGGGCAGGGATAGTGGTGATCTTAATAATTATCGCCCCATTTCATGGCTTCCTTGTCTAGCTAAGATTCTTGAATCCTTGGTAAATGTACAACTTTGCTTATTTTTATCTTAGAAATGTAGTTTGAATGTAAACCAATCAGGTTTTAGGCCTGGCCATAGCACTATTACAGCAACCACTTTAGTTGTTAATGATCTTGTCGATGCTTTAGACACTACAATGAAATATGCTGCTTTATTTGTCGACCCGTCAAAAGCTTTTGATACTGTTGATCATGCTATTTTATTAAATAAGATAGGCCTGAGCTCTGACACCTGTTCATGGTTTCATGACTATCTTAGTGACAGAACTCAGGCCATCGTGATTAATGGGGTTAAGTCTGAATTTCTTGAAGTACATAAAGATGGACCACAGGGGTTGATTTTGGGACATGTTCTCTTCACTATTTATATAAACACTGTCGGTCAATCTGTTAAAAATGGAAAACTTCATCTATATGCGGATGATACTATTATGTATGCTATTGCCCCAACTGTTGATCTGGCTGTGTCAAAACGACCTTGCTGATTTAAAACTTGTACTTAATACAGGCAAAACGAAATACATGTTGTTTTCAAACTCTCATAAGAATGTTTCCGATGAACTACATGTTCACTCAACAGATGGTTCTCCAATCTAAAGTGTTCCCACATATCCACTGCCTTGCAAAAGTATTCATCCCCCTTGGCATTTTTCCTATTTTGTTGCATTACAACCTGTAATTTAAATGGATTTTTATTTGGATTTCATGTAATGGACATACACAAAATAGTCAAAATTGGTGAAGTGAAATGAAAAAAATAACTTGTTTCACCCCCTTTGCTATGAAGCCCCTAAATAAGATCTGGTGCAACCAATTACCTTCAGAAGTCACATAATTAGTTAAATAAAGTCCACCTGTGTGCACTCCAAGTGTCACATGATCTGTCACATGATCTCAGTATATATACACCTGTTCTGAAAGGCCCCAGAGTCTGCAACACCACTAAGCAAGGGGAACCACCAAGCAAGCGGCACCATGAAGACCAAGGAGCTCTCCAAACAGGTCAGGGACAAAGTAGTGGAGAAGTACAGATCAGGGTTGGGTTATAAAAAAAATATCTGAAACTTTGAACATTCCACGGAGCACCATTAAATCCATTATTAAAAAATGGAAAGAATATGGCACCACAACAAACCTGCCAAGAAAGGGCCGCCCACCAAAACTCACGGACCAGGCAAGGAGGGCATTAATCAGAGAGGCAACAAAGAGACCAAAGATAACCGTGAAGGAGCTGCAAAGCTCCACAGCAGAGATTGGAGTATCTGTCCATAGGACCACTTTAAGCCGTACACTTCACAGAGCTGGGCTTTACAGAAGAGTGGCCAGAAAAAAATTAAGCAAATACGTTTGGTGTTTGCCAAAAGGCATGTGGGAGACTCCCCAAACATATGGAAGAAGGTACTCTGGTCAGATGAGACTAAAATTGAGCTTTTTGGCCATCAAGGAAAATGTCTGGCGCAAACCCAACACCTCTCATCACCCCGAGAACACCATCCCCACAGTGAAGCATGGTGGTGGCAGCATCCTGCTGTGGGGATGTTTTTCCATCGGCAGGGACTGGGAAACTGGTCAGAATTGAAGGAATGATGGATGGCGTTAAATACAGGGAAATTCTTGAGGGAAACCTGTTTCAGTCTTCCAGAGATTTGAGACTGGGATGGAGGTTCCCCTTCCAGCAGGACAATGACCCTAAGCATACTGCTAAAGCAACACTTGAGTGGTTTAACGGGAAACATTTAAATGTCTTGGAATGGCCTAGTCAAAGCCCAGACCTCAATCCAATTGAGAATCTGTGGTATGACTTCAAGATTGCTGTACACCAGCGGAACCCATCCAACTTGAAGGCGCTGGAGCAGTTTGCCTTGAAGAATGGGCAAAAATCCCAGTGGCTAGATGTGCCAAGCTTATAGAGACATATCCCAAGAGACTTGCAGCTGTAATTGCTGCAAAAGGTGGCTCTACAAAGTATTGACTTTGGGGTGGTGAATAGTTATGCACGCTCAAGTTCTGTTTTTTTGTCTTATTTCTTGTTTGTTTCACAAGAAAAAATATTTTGCATCTTCAAAGTGGTAGGCATGTTGTGTAAATCAAATGATACAAACCCCCCAAAAATCAATTTTAATTCCAGGTTGTAAGGCAACAAAATTGGAAAAATGCCAAGGGGGGTGAATACATTCGCAAGCCACTGTAAATACTAAGGCATTTGTATTGATGTGGATTTGACATTTAAAAAAACATATATACTGAACAACAATATAAACACAACATGTAAAGTGTTGGTCACGTTTCATGAGCTGAAATAAAAGATCCCAGACATGTTCCATACGCACAAAAGCTTATTTCTCTCAAATGTTGTGCACAAATTTGTTTACATCCCTGTTAGTGAGCATTTCTCCTTTGCCAAAATAATCCATCCACCTGACAGGTGTGGCATTCAAGAAGCTGATTAAACAGCATGACACAGGTGCACCTTGTACTGGGGACAATAAAAGGCCACTCTAAAATGTGCAGTTTTGTCACAACACAATGCCACAGATGTCTCAAGTTGAGGGAGCGTGCAATTGGCATGTTGACTGCAGGAATGTCCACCAGAGCTGTTGGCAGAGAATTTAATGTTAATTTCTCTACCATAAGCTGCCTCCAACGTGGTTTTAGGGAATTTGGCAGTATGTCCAACCGGCCTCACAACCGCAGACCACGTGTAACCACGACAGCCCAGGACCTCCACATCAGGCTTCTTCACCTGCGGGATCGTCTGAGACCAACCACCCAGACAGCTGATGAAACTGAGGAGTTCTTCTGTCTGTAATAAAGCCCTTTTGTGGGGAAAAACTCATTCTGATTGGCTGGGCCTGGCTCCCCAGTGGGTGGGCCTCTGCCCAGTCATGTGAAAACCATAGATTTGGGCCTAATGAATGTATTTAAATTGACTGATTTCCTTATATGAACTGTAACTCAGTATATTTTTGTTCAGTATATATGAGCTGGTTAAGAAGCTAAGATTTAAAGTTGGTGTTTTCTAGATTGTCTTTCTCTAAGCAGTAGGAAGCAGATTATTCAGTCAACCTTTTTATCTGTTCTTGATAATGGTGATATTATTTATCAAAGTGCAGCTGCTACTACTCTTAAACATTTGGATGCAATCCACCACAGTGCCCTTCGTTTTGTTACAGGTGACAGTTTTGATACTTATCACTGTATCCTATATCAAAAGGTTGGCTGGACTTCGCTAAAGACCCATAGATCTCTACATTACTCCCTTTTTGTTTACAAGGCCCTACTTCATAAACTTCTGTCTTATCCAACTTTGCTGTTGAAGTAGAGACACCAGAGTTGCTTAACCCGTTCACAGGATTGGTTAACTCGAGGTTCCTAGGGTCTCCACCGAGCTAGGTAAATCTGCTTTTAGTTTTAACGCACAGTATTGCTGTAACAAAATTCAAAATAAATTTAATCTTGATGTTCTGGTGCCGTTTGGGCAATTTAAAGTATTGATTGGGGACTTATTAGTGGAGGAATGTAAAAGTTTTTCTGGGTGATTTGTGATGTTTTATTTATGCTTCCCATGACTGTGTTTTTCCTTACACACACACACACACACACACACACACACACACACACACACACACATATATATAAATACACAGTACCAGTCAAAGGTTTGGACACACCTACTCGTTCAAGGGTTTTTCTTTGTTTTTACTATTTTCTACATTGTAGAATAATAGTGAAGACATCAAAACTATGAAATAACACATATGGAATCATATAGTAACCAAAAAAGTGAGAAAAAAAAACAATCCAAATATATTTGATGACAGCTTTTGCACACTCTTGGCATCCTCTCAACCAGCTTCATGAAGTAGTCACATGGAATGCATTTCAATGAACAGGTGTGCCTTGTTAAAAGTTAATTTGTGGAATTTCTTTCCTTCTTAATGCGTTTGAGCCAATCAGTTGTTGTGACATGGTAGGGGTGGTATACAGAAGATAGCCCTATTTGGTAAAAGAACAAGTCCATATTATGGCAAGAACAGCTCAAATAAGCAAAGAGAAACGACAGTCCATCATTACCTTAAGACATGAAGGTCAGTCAATGCGGAACATTTCAAGAACTTGTTTTATCAAGTGCAGTCGCAAAAACCATCAAGCGCTATGATGAAACTGGCTCTCATGAGGACAGCCACAGGAAAGGAAGACCCAGAGTTATCTCTGCTGCAGAGGATAAGTTCATTAGAGTTACCAGCCTCATAAATTGCAGCCCAAATAAATGCTTCAAAGAGTTCAAGTAACAGACATCTCAACATCAACATGGTCGAATTGCTGCAAAGAAACCACTACTAAAGGACACCAATAAGAAGAAGAGACCTGCTTGGGCCAAGAAACACAAGCAATGGACATTAGACCAGTGGAAATCTGTCCTTTGGTCTGATGAGTCCAAATTTGAGATTTTTGGTTCCAACTGCCGTGTCTTTGTGAGACGCAGAGTAGCTGAACATCTCTGCATGTGTGGTTCCCACCATGAAGTATGGAGGAGGAGGTGTGATGGTGCTTTGCTGGTGACACTGTCTGTGATTTATTTAGAATTCAAGGGCACACTTAACCAGCATGGATCCCACAGCATTCTGCAGCGATACGCCTTCCCATCTGGTTTGCGCTTAGTGGGACTATCATTTATTTTTCAACAGGACAATGACCCAAAACACACCTCCAGGCTGTGTAAGGGCTATTTGACCAAGGAGAGTGATGGAGTGCTGCATGAGATGACCTGGCCTCCACAATCACCTGACCTCAACCCAATTGAGATGGTTTGGGATGAGTTGGACCGCAGAGTGAAGGAAAAGCAGCCAACAAGTGCTCAGCATATGTGGGAACTCCTTCAAGACTGTTGGAAAAGCATTCCTCATGAAGCTGGTTGAGAGAATGCAAGAGTGTGCAAAGCTGTCATCAAGGCAAAGGGTGGCTACTTTGAAGAATCTAAAATCAAAAATATATTTTGATTTGTTTTTTAAAAAAATGGTTACTACATGATTCCATGTGGTATGTCTTCACTATTATTCTACAATGTAGACAATAGTAAAAATAAAGAAAAAACCTTGAATGAGTAGGTGTGTCCAAATGTTTGACTGGTACTGTGTAATATATATATATATATATATATATATATATAGCATAATGTGTATATGTATGTTGTATATACAAGGTGCATTTGTAAAAGAGACCTAGGTCTCAATATGTCTTCTCTGTTCAAAAAAAGGTAAATAATTAATCAAATACATACAGTATTGGGACCATGGACTGAACACTGCCTCTAAACAGACCACTATCATCAGCATACATTTACATTTACATTTTAGTCATTTAGCAGACGCTCTTATCCAGAGCGACTTACAGGAGCAATTAGGGTTAAGTGCCTTGCTCAAGGGCACATCGACAGATCTTTCACCTAGTCGGCTCGGGGATTAGAACCAGCGACCTTTCGGTTACTGGCACAACGCTCTTAACCACTAAGCTACCTGCCGCCCGCATACTAGTGTAAGTACAGTGTAATTAGACAAGTATCAGTGTCAAGCGCACACAGGCAGGCACACACATTGTAAGCTCTGCATAAAGGTAAATGCTGTAAAGAAAGAGGGAGAGAGCGTACCTATGTACAGAGCTCTGAGAGAGCAGGCGCAGTCCACTCTTGCAGCACCATAGACAGCTCTGACAGAGATGCAGATGGGTCTCCAACTGCATGGTGGGAAACATTGTTACCTCCACAGTTTTCTCTGAATCTTTCCACTGACGTTGATGCCAGACCCAATACAAAGTTAGAAGAGATTGAAGTTGCAGCATGATAACAACTAAATTGTCACAGTCATAAAATCAAGTCATTATCTGCACAGTTGAATGTCTATCCACACAGTACACATTGTCCTTTTTCCTTTGCATTGCAAACTAGCTAACATGCTAGCTAACAAGCTAGTAACCTAATGACAACCTAGCTACTTCATTGATTCCAATGCTGTTCTGTTAGCTAACGTTAGCTTTGTTAGCTGGTTAGTGTGTTGAAGCAAAAAACTAACCATCTACACTGAACAAAAATATAAACGCAACATGTAAAGGGTTGGTCACATGTTTCCTGAGCTGAAATAAAAGATCCCATAAATGTTCCATACGCACAAAAAGCGTATTTCTTTCAAATGTTTTGCACAAATTTGTTTACATCCCTGTTAGTGTGCATTTCTCTTTTGCAAAGATAATCCATCCACCTGACTGGTGTGGCATATCAAGAAGCTTAGTAAACAGCATGATCATTACACAGGTGCACCTTGTGCTAAGGACAATAAAAGGCAAATGTGCACAACACAATGCCACAGATGTCTCAAGTTTTGAGGGAGTGTGCAATTGGCATGCTGACTGCAGGAATGTCCACCAGAGCTATTGGCAGAGAATGTAATGTTAATTTCTCTACCATAAACCGCCTCCAACATTGTTTTAGAGAATTTGGCAGTACATCCAACCGGCCTCACAACCGCAGACCATGTGTATGGCGTCCTGTGGGTGAGCGGTTTGCTGATGTCAACATTGTGAACAGAGTGCCACATTGTGGCGGTAGGGTTATGGTATCGGCAGGCATAAACTACAGACAATGAACCCAATTGCATTTTATCAATTGGCAATTTGAATGCACAAATACCGAGACGAGATCCTGAGGCCCATTGTGAGGCCCATTTTTTTTAAAGGTATCTGTAACCAGCAGATGCATATCTGTATTCCCAGTCATGAGAAATCCATAGTTTAGGGCCTAATTAATGTATTTCAATTGACTGATTTCCTCATATGAAATTGTTGCAAGTTGCATTCATATTTTTGTTCAGTATTGTAGCTGTGGCTATAAAATTGTATAAGCTTGCTAGCTAACTCGACTAAAGACACTGGGCTAAGCTTTTGACCTATGATTTCACGCGGAAAAACACACAAGTATTTGAACAAAAGACAGAGAAAGAAATTGTGAATTGCAAGGGTAGAGAAGCATAGACGTACCGAAATATTGCACTTTCTTTCGCTTCATAACAAATATACTGGGGGTTGTTGCATAAAGTTGTCTCTGGCAGAGTGCTGGGGTTTAATCATTTCGCCGATTCTGTTGCAAAACGTTTAGTCTGTTGCGTTTACGCCCAACGGAAATCGTAAACTATAGTTTATATTGGACAAATTCAGGTAGGTCCCTCCCCGTTTCGTTCCGTTTGCAACTGAAAACAAAATCCCTGTTCTTAGTGGACAAATTCAGGACGCTAGCACCCAGTTTCACTCCCTTTCATAACGTGTATCCCATACTGAACACGACCGCACACTACTGCACGTTTTGGGGTTAACCATTCCATGCCTTTCTATTCTCTACAAGAAAATGCATCAAACATTGATTGTTTTTCTTCTGGCTAACAACAGAAAATACGGACATTTAATGCATTTCACACACTTTTTGGTTTTTCTTCAACACCCAAAAATATTATTTTACTCATCAATGCATACACAGCAGTTTACTTTCTGTACCCGCCAACCTCACGCCTCCTCCAATCAGCTGTGGAAGTGGGCGGTGCTGACCTGATTGTTATGACCCGTCCCCAAAATCACTTCCTGGACTTTTAAGACCACACATTTGTCAGACAGAGTTAGTTACTAGTATCTTTGCATTTGTGTCTCTCAGCGCACTTTTTAAAAAAAATATGTTTATGACTTTACCAAACGCTCGAGGCTTTGGTTCAGTCAGCGTCCACTCCATTTATAAAAGTAATCTATATGTTCGTTGTTAAGGCTTGACTTGTTTATGTTATAGCAGTGGAGGGAAGCTATAGGTAAGGATCAATCTTTCAAACTATAGCCATGTTTGTGTCATTGATAAAGTAATTGATAAATTAGGTTGTCAGAACAAGGTGCTGGGTTCAAACGGTCAAAGAATTTTAGCGAGAAGCTAGCTACTAGCCCAAGATGTACTCTTAAGGAGCCTAACGTTACTCCTTAAGGTCCAATGACCTTATAGGTTATTTTGGCAGCCAAAACTCCATCTAAACGTGAATCAATTCTCAATTACAATACGGTTTTAGAAACATTAAGCCCTCTACTTTCAATCACAAATTTAACAAATACAAAATATACACTTACTGTACACTGTTTTAACGGCTTTATCACAATTGCAGCTGACAGTATTTTTCAGTGACAACACGGTTCTGGCGGCCTTCTGCTGTTACACACAGGTGTTTGGAGCATGCTAAATAGCTTCCCAGCCTGGTCTCAGACGTAACATAGTAAATGTATATCCGGGACAGTCAAATTAGTGTGATATGTTCGGTTTGGTATGGTTACATAAGACATATGGTTATGGTTGGGGTGGGTGTATAACGCGAACGTTTAGCAACCCAAATGTTGCGAGTTCGAATCTAATCAGGGACCCCTTTAGCATTTTAACTAATTAGCAACTTTTCAACTACTTACTACTTTTTTGCAACTACATAGCATATTAGCTAACCCTTCCCCGAACTCTTAACCCTTTTAACTAACTCTCCCCCTAACCTTAACCCTTTTACCTAACCTTTTAACATAACACCTACCCAAACCTCTAGCCTAGCTAACGTTGGCCACCTAGCTAGAATTCGTATCTTATCATACGTTTTTCAAATGCGTAACATATACATTTAGAAAATTCGTAAAGTATAATACGAAATGGGTGTTAGACATCCACTCATTAATACATACCTACGAAATGTAACATATCATACTGAATGGAGTGTATCGGATTTAAGTACAGAGTAGTACGAGATGCTCTGAGATCAGGTTGGTCTTCAGCAGGGGCGGTGTGTTCAATAGGGCGATATGGGCGACGCACTGCCAAACGGGAAAAGGAAGGGATTTTTTTTCTAATCAATTATATCACGGCAACAGTAGTTATCAGTGTTGTAATCTAGACGTGTCTGGTCTGATCTGCCACTAAATGTCCAATCAGGCTAAAGTCGTGCTTCAAATGGCCACCCCCCCTTTTTGGGCGATTTCCGTCAGGTTGAAAATCGCCCAGAAGTCTGTCATAGACTCCCATGTAAAATCTATTTTTTTCAAATTTCAGAGCTTTCAATACAATCTCTATGGGTGTCTGAGGGCTTGCACTTACGCGCTTTCGTCATACGTAACGTAACCATGAACGTAACTAAGAAAAGACCGGGTAGCAGCCTCAATCAATTCACTACTACTGTAAAAATGGCTAGCCTTCAGTGCAACTCGATTGTGTCTTTGAAAGAAGTTCCTTTTTGTCGGCGAACAAATCAAGATAAATTGGCAACGAAACAATTAGGACCTCCCAGACCAAATTTAATAATTCAACAGGTTTCTACTAAAGGCGGAAAGTCCTACACCCGAGGATTTTCCAAAAATTGGTACTAACGAAAAAAGAACATTGCCACTCAACTGGATGAGGGATACAGGCTAGCTGTCCGCCGCCACAACGATGAGGTTAGTGTTGATAATCACAAGTTTACTGGAGAACTGAGACCAAGTAGAGACTTTGGACAGGGTGGATATGGTATAATAAAGGCAGTTTATTCAGAGGTAAAGATATCTGGAATCGCGTGCACGGACCCGTTCGTCAAACTCTTAGGGAGCTATACATTAAGCCCCATTACTTACCATATCAGATAAGAGAAATTGCTGCAGCTACATATATTTTACATCCTGGCCCTACATAGTTCACTATTTGCATCACTTACCAAAATATTACATGTGGTCATATATGCTTGGAAAGTGGAGATGCCATAGAACGTCAAAAAAGTAAACATTGCTGGAGACACATTGCCGTTTTGGAGAAGACATCGCGTTTGCTAGCGAAGAGATTTGTTGTGGCAAATGAACTTGGGCTGGGAATTGCCAGGAACCTCACGATAAGATATATGCATTGCGAGTCTCATTATTCTATACGTATTGCGATTCGATACTGTGATTTTATTGCGCACCATATGTCTGTTGCAGAGGGATCAGAAAGCCATGAGAACGAGTTTTGATCAGTCATGGAAATAAAAGTGCTGAAAACAAATTGGCTCCCAATGTGAAAAGATTGAGAACAAGCTATGAAGGAACAATAATGGTGTTTTGGTGCAGGTACAGCCAACTAGCGCTAAAATATTGCGATATTGTCAATACAGTATATCGTAAAGTATCACTATGTAACTCGATTTCTTTCACCCCAATCCCTCAAATTAACGGTAAATAACTGAATTGTTTGCCCCACATTTAGCTAAGATGATTAGCTAGCCAGCTAAAATGTTTTATTTAGTTAGCAGTCGCATCTACAATAGTTTACTGTCAATAACATGTCTCCAAAAATGACGTGGTGTCTCCAATTGTGTTGACATTTGACAATTGCGATGCGCATCCATGAGTATCCACTTTCTGTAGCTCAGCTGGTAGAGCACGGCGCTTGTAACGCCAAGGTAGTGGGTTCGATCCCCGGGACCACCCATACACAAAAATGTATGCACGCATGACTGTAAGTCGCTTTGGATAAAAGCGTCTGCTAAATGGCATATTATTATTATTATTATTATTATTATTATCTGAAGAGAGCCCCGAAACATTGTGTGCAGACATTTTATGCAATAAATGAAGTAGGTTGAATCTAGTAGTTCTGATCTTCTGATTGGTCCTGATGAGTTGGGCGAGGTCCCCTCCAGGCTACTGTCACTGTTGCATTGGCTCTGAGTCGGGTTCTCTGTCTTCAAATGTTCAGCCTAAGAGAGGGGATTTTTGTGTGTGTGTGTGTGTGTTTAACAGTGATGATGTGTGTGTGTGTGTGTGTGTGTGTGTGTGTGTGTGTGTTTAACAGTGATGATGTGTGTGTGTGTGTGTTTGTGTGTGTGTGTGTGTGTGTCCTCAGAGCAAGAACTCGTGAGTTGGAAGAACTGAGAGGCCTATGGCGTGGGTGTTGTCCTTGGCTGACAAGATAGGACCCTTTTGTCCATTGTTATTGGATAGGAACAGAACTTATAACCAGCTCCTGACCTAAATAGATCTTAGCACAACATTTTACTCAACATATCATATTCCATATTCACTATAACAAATATATTTACTACGACATTAGCAAGAACCGCCACATCCTCAGCCGGCTAATCCAGTGTGTGAAGTTTTGCGGAGTGTTTGAGTTAGCTTTGCGAGGCAAAGATGAAATTGAGGGCTCCACCAACCCTGGTAAGCCAACACTTTTGAGATCAGTCAATAAATGCTTCTGGTATTGACTTATATGCTGCCCCTGTCTTCATGTTGTTGCTGGACATATCTTTTTTTAAATGTGTGTAGGTCACCTAAATCATCAGAAAAATTGCCCCCCCTGAGAATTTTTTCAGGAGCCGCCACTGGTCTTCAGTAAACATGAAGATATGGCAATGTGGTAACACTAACCATATAAAGGTGTGAAAATTATTTCTCGCCGATCAGTGGCGGCTCCTGAAAAAATTCTCAGGGGGGGCAATTTTTCTGATGATTTAGGTGACCTACACACATTTTAAAAAAGATATGTCCAGCAACAACATGAAGACAGGGGCAGCATATAAGTCAATACCAGAAGCATTTATTGACTGATCTCAAAAGTGTTGGCTTACCAGGGTTGGTGGAGCCCTCAGTTTCATCTTTGCCTCGCAAAGCTAACTCAAACACTCCGCAAAACTTCACACACTGGATTAGCCGGCTGAGGATGTGGCGGTTCTTGCTAATGTCGTAGTAAATATATTTGTTATAGTGAATATGGAATATGATATGTTGAGTAAAATGTTGTGCTAAGATCTATTTAGGTCAGGAGCTGGTTATAAGTTCTGTTCCTATCCAATAACAATGGACAAAAGGGTCCTATCTTGTCAGCCTTGTCAGCAGGTGGCCAAGGACAACACCCACGCCATAGGCCTCTCAGTTCTTCCAACTCACGAGTTCTTGCTCTGAGGACACACACACACACACACACAAACACACACACACACACATCACTGTTAAACACACACACACACACACACACATCATCACTGTTAAACACACACACACACACACACACACAAAAATCCCCTCTCTTAGGCTGAACATTTGAAGACAGAGAACCCGACTCAGAGCCAATGCAACAGTGACAGTAGCCTGGAGGGGACCTCGCCCAACTCATCAGGACCAATCAGAAGATCAGAACTACTAGATTCAACCTACTTCATTTATTGCATAAAATGTCTGCACACAATGTTTCGGGGCTCTCTTCAGATAATAATAATAATAATAATATGCCATTTAGCAGACGCTTTTATCCAAAGCGACTTACAGTCATGCGTGCATACATTTTTGTGTATGGGTGGTCCCGGGGATCGAACCCACTACCTTGGCGTTACAAGCGCCATGCTCTACCAGCTGAGCTACAGAAAGTGGATACTCATGGATGCGCATCGCAATTGTAAAATGTCAACACAATTGGAGACACCACGTCATTTTTGGAGACATGTTATTGACAGTAAACTATTGTAGATGCGACTGCTAACTAAATAAAACATTTTAGCTGGCTAGCTAATCATCTTAGCTAAATGTGGGGCAAACAATTCAGTTATTTACCGTTAATTTGAGGGATTGGGGTGAAAGAAATCGAGTTACATAGTGATACTTTACGATATACTGTATTGACAATATCGCAATATTTTAGCGCTAGTTGGCTGTACCTGCACCAAAACACCATTATTGTTCCTTCATAGCTTGTTCTCAATCTTTTCACATTGGGAGCCAATTTGTTTTCAGCACTTTTATTTCCATGACTGATCAAAACTCGTTCTCATGGCTTTCTGATCCCTCTGCAACAGACATATGGTGCGCAATAAAATCACAGTATCGAATCGCAATACGTATAGAATCATGAGACTCGCAATGCTGATGCATATATCTTATCGTGAGGTTCCTGGCAATTCCCAGCCCAAGTTCATTTGCCACAACAAATCTCTTCGCTAGCAAACGCGATGTCTTCTCCAAAACGGCAATGTGTCTCCAGCAATGTTTACTTTTTTGACGTTCTATGGCATCTCCACTTTCCAAGCATATATGACCACATGTAATATTTTGGTAAGTGATGCAAATAGTGAACTATGTAGGGCCAGGATGTAAAATATATGTAGCTGCAGCAATTTCTCTTATCTGATATGGTAAGTAATGGGGCTTAATTTATAGCTCCCTAAGAGTTTGACGAACGGGTCCGTGCACGCGATTCCAGATATCTTTACCTCTGAATAAACTGCCTTTATTATACCATATCCACCCTGTCCAAAGTCTCTACTTGGTCTCAGTTCTCCAGTAAACTTGTGATTATCAACACTAACCTCATTGTTGTGGCGGCGGACAGCTAGCCTGTATCCCTCATCAAGTTGAGTGGCAATGTTATTTTTCCGTTCGTACCAATTTTTGGAAAATCCTCGGGTGTAGGACTTTCCGCCTTTAGTAGAAACCTGTTGAATTATTAAATTTGGTCTGGGAGGTCCTAATTGTTTCGTTGCCAATTTATCTTCATTTGTTCGCCGACAAAAAGGAACTTCTTTCAAAGACACAATCCGCTCTTTTCTCAGTTACGTTCATGGTTACGTTACGTTACGTATGACGAAAGCGCGTAAGTGCAAGCCCTCAGACACCCATAGAGATTGTATTGAAGGCTCTGAAATTTGAAAAAAATAGATTTTACATTAGAGGCTATGAGAGACTTCTGGGCGATTTTCAACCTGACTGAAATCGCCCCAAAAGGGGGGGGAGCCATTTGAAGCACGACTTTAGCCTGATTCGACATTTAGTGGCACTGTGGCAGATCAGACGTATAGATTACAACACTGATAACTACTGTTGCCGTGATATAATTGATTAGAAAAAAAATCCCTTCCTTTTCCCGTTTGGCAGTGCGTCGCCCATATCGCCCTATTGAACAGGCCGCCCCTGTCGCCGATAAGAAAGATAAGGTCCTTATGCTTCCAAAACCGTACGGCAAGCGATGCGTGTTGATGTTCAAACTGTGAGTCGGGGCTTTTAACAAAACTTCCACCCTACAGAAGATGCCTTCATCCAATGACTCTTGTGTAATGGAATGGAACGGAACTGAGTCATGATCAAGTTTGCTAGCTATTCACTTTACAGCAGCTTCATAGCTACAGTTTTCTCCCGATATTTGACTTGAAAATTCATTCAAGTACTTTTCCAGCATCACTTCTGTAAACACATAGCTCTACACTTCTGGGCTAAGTCACATGGTAAAACTTAGCCCTTGATCATGACTCTTAGTTCCATTACATTACACATAAGTCATTGGATGAAGGCATCTTCTGTACGGGGGAGTTTTGTTAAGAGCCACAACGCTTGGCCTGAACATTAACACACATCTCTTGCGGTACGGTTTTGGAAGCATAAGGACCTTATCTTTCATATCGGCGAGAAATAATTTTCTAAAAACTAAAGGTTAAATTGATACACACCTTTTATAGGGTTAGGGTTCCCACACATATTCCCATGTTAGAGCGCTTGTTTACAGAAGACAGAATGGACTACCTGTGCTAATTAGCTATCTGCCTCTTCGAACACCTGTGTGTAAACGGAAGATGGACGCCACAAATGTGTTGTCATTGAAAAATACTGTCGCCTGCAACTGTTAAAATCAGTTAAAACAGTGTGAAGTAAGTGTGTATTTTGCATTTGTGAAATTATTTTGATGTGATATGAAAGTAGAGGGCTTTATGTTTCTAGAACCGTATCGCAATTGAGAATCGATTCACGTTTAGATGGAGTTTTGGCTGCCAGAGCCAGTCTACCTCTGAAAATAACCTGTAAGGTCCAAGGACCTTAAGGAGTAACGTTAGGATCCTTAAAAAAAGAGTACATCTTGGGCTAGTAGCTAGCTAGTTCAATCAGTTCGTTTGACCGTGTACTGACAAGCTAATTTATCAATGACATATGTTGCTAGAACCATAATTGAGAATTCACGTTTAGATGGAGTATTTGGCTGTTTTAACTTCGAGAGCCACTTCGCCCTTTAAACAGAACATGTAAGGTCCTTGGACTATAAGGAGAAACGTTAGACTCCTTTAGTCCAATATTGGGCTAGGTAAAACTATCCTGTCCTTCCTCAATTTGAAAATGATCTTTTTAAATTTATTCTACGCAAACATGAGAGCTGATTTATATGATTACAATTTGATTAGGCCTAATCAGAATGGATCGTGAGGTCTCTGTGCTGTTGCACTGCACCGCCTGGGGAGGTCTCCTGGAACCACAGGTGCAGGTGGAGCTTTCTGCCAGGTAAATTCATAATTCATTACTTTCAATCGATAGACTACTTCTAACAACCAACTAACTATAAAACCAGTTATCAAACACAATGGATCTATTGTCCTCTCCCTCCATCTCTCTCTCTCTTTCTATCCATCAAGGTTTAACCGTCAGACAGAGCCAGCACTGGAGCGTCACATAGAGGAGGTGTGGACAGAGAGGGTGACCAGGGAGCCATGGCTTTTCAATGGGGCCAAATTCAGGCTGCACTCTTTCAGTCTGGCCTCCCCCCAGCCCTCCTGCCCACCTACACCCCAGCCTCCCTGCATGAATGGAGAAGGAGACAGAGATGGAAGGCAATGTAGCATTCAGAAGGAGGAAAGAGGGCTTACATGAGACAAAGGGGAACACTGACTCTAGAAGAGCAGAGGTGCTCAGACACCAAAGAGATCAAATAGACGAAGTAATCGGCGAACGACAGCATAATGACATTGATTTGAATAGCTATAAGCAGAGAGAGGGGAACCTCAGAGACTCACAAACCTCTACCCCAGGGTGCGGAAACCAAGATCCTGCTGTGGGGAGCAGTGCAGCAGAAGCTCAACCCTGCCTACAGAGAGATGTGGGTGGGAAGGGTGAGGGGCCCACTCCCATCCTGACCCTGAGGTTGGGCCTGACCTGCTATAGGGACTTCCTGGGCACCAACTGGTCTCAGAGAGCAGGGGAGCTATGCCAGCGTGCGGAGGCGGAGTTTGGGGATCCCCTGGCTCTATTGGCCCAGCCGCTGGGGGTGGGTGGGGTCCTGTGTACGGCTGACAGACAGGTGGTGCTGATCAGGAGGAGCCAGCAAGTGGCCGAGGCAGGGGGGCTGCTGGACATCCCTGGGGGGCACCCCGAACCAAAGGTGAGACAGGGTGAAAGTTAAACCAATACTGTATGAAATGTGGTATTGTATCCTCCATACTTGTGAGGTTACTCATTCCAAACAAGTGTTGAACTGTATTCTATTTCCATTGTTTGCCATACTTATGGTAACTTACTTATGATATCTAATTACCTTAGCCGCCTCCTCCCCCTTTCCCCCAGGCTGTGTTTGAAGGCCTCGATGAGATGGACAAGATCAGGGTGGAGATGCTGCAGCGGATGGAAGAGGCTGTGGTCAGAGAGCTGTTCTCTTCTGTGTGCACTGAGATTAGAGACGAGGTGAGACGAAACATAGCTGCTGGCCATGAGACTGACTGGTCCATGGACCAGTCAGTCTGCCTGCCTCCTTTGTAGCATTATTTCTCTCTCTCTTCATCCCTCTCTCCATCTATCATTTTCTTTCTTTCTCTCTCTTTCATTAAGTTTGTCTTCATTCATCTCATTACGACCTCACTGTCTGTCTGCAGGTAAATGTTCCTCTTTGTTGTCTGGGTGAGCCGGTACTGATGGGCATCGCTCTGAATAACACCAGTGCAGGCAGACCCAGCGCAGAGTTCTACATCAGGTACTCACACAGGAAATTACATCATAGAAAAGAGCCCTTCATTATCAGGCCCATGTTTGGTAACTGTCCACAAAATGATAAGACATGCAGTATTATACAATTCCTATATTGTGTCGTGTCTGTCCCCAGTTGTTCGCTGACTTCCACAGAAGTTCGAGAGCTTTACTGGCAGGGGGGCGTCGAGGCCCAGGAGTCTACAGATATCGTGTTCTTGAGCCAAACGGTAAGGAGCGCCACAACAGTTACCGTTATCTGTGAAACTGTAATCTGTGCATAAAGAAAATGTAATGTCTAAGAACACAGCAGAACAAAGCATATGGAAAGTGATCTTTCATCATTGAAACATAGATATTGAACAATGTCATACAAATAGTTTGTAAACAGTTTATTACACATTAATAACACCTTGTGTAATGAATCTCTGAACATGTCTTGTGAATTGAAGGAGGTGCTACGTCTAGACCAGAGCGCCCCCCTGTGGTCGGAGTTGTGTCCTTCAGCCAAGGGTGCAGTGCTGCTCTATCAACTAGTGCTGCCTGACCGAGAAGACAAAAGCAATCTATCACAGACTCCAGCTACGGCACTGGATAAAATTTCCAGATGATGAAATGAATACAATAGACATTTTCTTCAACGAAAAAGCAGCGATTTAATGTTGCTGTTGTTGCTTTAAGAGACAATACTGCTGTAGAAAGTTTAAGCCCCCTGCTATGAAAATGTCGAAGTAAACATTCCCTGATATAAAGTTCCAGCAGTATTACAGAAAAAGAGAACTCCATATGAACATTGCTTGATGTTTGACACTTAGGCACCTGGTGGAGGCACAATATTTCCCAACTTTGCATAAAAATGCTGTGATAATGTAAAAAATCTAACAAACATGTATAATAAATCTCTATAAAACCACCTGATGATTTTGCTCTTCTCTTTAGACGTTTAACAGTAACCCTGGTAATGGTAACTATCGTAAGCGTAGTTCCTGTTACCATAGTAGCCCTGGTCTTGGTAACCCTGATTCTTGTTGCCGTAATAGCCCTGGTCTTGGTAACCCTGATTCTTGTTGCCGTAGTAGTCCTGGTCTTGGTAACTCTGATTCCACTGAACAGAGAGGGGGAGAGAGAGAATAAATACATCATTCATACTGTTCAACAGAGACCTTGACTGGGAGACTTTTAACATGTGAGACTGTCTATGGTGCTGAAAGATTGGACTGCACTTCCTCTCAGAGCTCTGTACACAGGTATGCTCTCTCTCTATTCTACCATCTACACTGTCTATAGCATTTACCTGTTTTGCACACACACCGGTACCAGGGTCTCCGTTAGGAAAATGTGGTGCAGGACATTTGACCGGCAGCATTTTAATTTACCGGACCCATATGCATTGGGTGCGTAACCTGATTAGGGCGTCCACCCACGGTACTCAGAATGACAAAATCACATTTAGATTATGGTAACTCATCTTAACAGAACATGCAACTCGAGGATGCAATGTGCTCCTTACCGAATTCCGATGTGGAATTTTAGGATGTTAGAATAACTGTCCAGCCAAGAAGACACTAGCAAAATCACTAGCCTAGGTCAATATACTAGCCCCCATAGTAGAAAAGTTAACCTATTCTATTGGTCAGCTTGTCGTTCTGTGCGAGAAAGAAATAGCCTGTTCCAAACAGACTATGGGACAGTTGTGGGACGATAGATCCTAAATTCATACAACCAGTAGGCCTAGGATACATCCAAAACAACGTTAAAAAGCAATGAGGCTCGTGCAACAGATCAGAGCGTTTAGCTTAAAACGTTGATCAACTATTATTTCAAGGCAGTAGGCTACGCGTGAATGTTCGTTCCATACTGCAATTTAGCAGGAAAGCACTGCACATGCAAGCGGTTTCATGAGACCGAGATGAATGCATCTGTTAGAAATGTAGGAAGAGTGGAGATAAAGATGGAACAGCTAGCATGGGTTGCTAATATGACTAGGATTGGGCCTTTGGCTACTGGACAATGAAATACATTTGAAAAACAACTAAACATGAGCTAAATAGGCTACTGGTTTCAATGGCATATGGAAGTCTTCATAAAAATAATTGCCTGCAAGTTTGATTGGATTTTGGCTAAGCTACTTTGAAGCAAGGTAAGACATGCCTCATAATGTAGTAAAACGTTCAGGTTTCAAACAATTAAGTATATGTTTTCAAAATGCACATACTGCCTCCAGCTCATTGCAAAGTGGTGTGAAGCCTGCCTAGTTACCTATGCACTTGAATGGGAAGCACACTTCAATTACCAGTTGAGAAATAAAAATAGTAGCTATTTCTAATCTTGGCCATCAAAACTGTTTTTAACACGCAATTGCATTTAGAATTGTCGCACAATGATTGGGCTTATAAAAGCACGTTTCACTCCTGTAGCAACAAACAAGCTGTGTGATGAGCTGTAGCAGCAGCTCTCATGCTACATTGACAGATATTTTAATCAATGAATAGGCTAAAATGCATTTCCGCAATGGGATTTGTTTTCTACTCCTGGACAATTTGCCGGTGCCATTTTTATTTATCGGCTTTTCATATTGTTTTCGGCCAAAAGCCGGCTATTACCGCTAATGGAAACCCTGACAGGTACCCAATGTGCATGCCTGTTTGTGTGTGTGTGTACCACTACCTGTCTGTAGCATGCTTCCTGTCTGTAGCATGCTTCCTGTCTGTAGCATTCTTCCTGTCTGTGGCATTCTTCCTGTCTGTAGCATGCTTCCTGTCTGTAGCATGCTTCCTGTCTGTAGCATTCTTCCTGTCTGTAGCATTCTTCCTGTCTGTAGCATTCTAGCTGTTTGTTGTAGTTTAGCTGTCTGTTGTACTCCCTGTATGCTTCATGGCTAAAGTCGTTGCTGCGGTACTGGTAGTTTGCTCCATTGAACGTTTCATCCTGCCAGATAAATATCACAGAAATGTGTGGCATCATATACCCCTGCCTCTAGATTATACTCCTCTGCCTCTAGATTATACACCCCTGCCTCTAGATTATAAACCCCTGCCTCTAGATTATACTCCCCTGCCTCTAGATTATCCTCTAGATTATACTCCCCTGCCTCTAGATTATACACCCCTGCCTCTAGATTATACACCCCTGCCTCTAGATTATACACCCCTGCCTCTAGATTATACACCCCTGCCTCTAGATTATAAACCCCTGCCTCTAGATTATACACCCCTGCCTCTAGATTATCCTCTAAATTATACAACCCTGCCTCTAGATTATCCTCTATATTATACACCCCTGCCTCTAGATTATACATTTACATTTACATTTTAGTCATTTAGCAGACGCTCTTATCCAGAGCGACTTACAGTTAGTGAGTGCATACATTATTTTTCATACCCCCATTATATACCCCTGCCTCTAGATGATATCCCCCTGCCTCTATATGATATACCCCTGCCTCTAGATGATATACCCCTGCCTCTAGATGATATACCCCTGCCTCTAGATGACATACCCCTGCCTCTAGATGATATACCCCTGCCTCTAGATGATATACCCCTGCCTCTAGATGATATACCCCTGCCTCTAGGACTTTGGTGGAGCTCTCATTTTTGGGATTTGAGTTGGTTAATCTTGTTTGTTCTTACCTCCGTGTTTAGGGGATACGTCTGATCCAATTTACTATGCCTGGTGTCATAATGGTGCTTAACATTGGCACTTTTCACGAGAGCTACGGACTCACTGCATATCAGGCACATTGGTTTTGTGCTAGTTGCAGGGAGAATGAATAAATACTGTTCCGTCCACTCGTCTTTGAATATACGGTTTTCAGAGTCAACTTGTCTTTTTTTTTAACAAGCCATATTAACAAAGATCCTGGTAACTAAGCTCCTATCTGTGATATTTACAGTTGAACCACGATCAAATCTTTCAGTTTCTTTCTGCCTGCTTGTCCCAAGGTTCCGCTGAGGATATTTGGATTCATGTGATTGGGTAAGACGCAGTCTCTTGTATTTGCATATAACCCCGGCATTGTATTAGACGGGGCACTAGTAGAGGTGGGCGTTGCTTCGAGAGAGAGAGCGAGAAAGAGCGGTTGTTGAGTTAAAGAGGCCGCCGCGCCCGGTTGATTTAGTAAAGCTGTCTAAAAATAATGTATTGACTTTTATGTAACAAAATGCGATGTTATCCGGTCTGGATTGACCCCTCTCTGTGTCCGGCCAGTTGGGTTTGGCTGCTCTAGATCATATACACCTGCTTCTAGGTTATATACCACTGTCTCTAGATTATATACCCGTGCCTCTAGATCATATACACCTGCTTCTAGGTTATATACCACTGTCTCTAGATCATATACACCTGCTTCTAGATTATATACCACTGTCTCTAGATTATATACCCGTGCCTCTAGATCATATACACCTGCTTCTAGGTTATATACCACTCTCTAGATTATATACCTGTGCCTCTAGATCATATACACCTGCTTCTAGATTATATACCACTGTCTCTAGATTATATACCCGTGCCTCTAGATCATATACACCTGCTTCTAGGTTATATACCACTGTCTCTAGATTATATACCCGTGCCTCTAGATCATATACACCTGCTTCTAGGTTATATACCACTGTCTCTAGATTATATACCCGTGCCTCTAGATCATATACACCTGCTTCTAGGTTATATATCACTGTCTCTAGATTATATACCCGTGCCTCTAGATCATATACACCTGCTTCTAGGTTATATACCACTGTCTCTAGATTATATACCCGTGCCTCTAAATCATATACACCTGCTTCTAGATTATATACCTGTGCCTCTAGATCATATACACCTGCTTCTAGGTTATATACCACTGTCTCTAGATTATATACCCGTGCCTCTAGATCATATACACCTGCTTCTAGGTTATATACCACTGTCTCTAGATTATATACCCGTGCCTCTAGATCATATACACCTGCTTCTAGATTATATACCACTGTCTCTAGATTATATATCCGTGCCTCTAGATCATATACACCTGCTTCTAGGTTATATACCACTCTCTAGATGATATACCCGTGCCTCTAGATCATATACACCTGCTTCTAGATTATATACCACTGTCTCTAGATTATATACCCGTGCCTCTAGATCATATACACCTGCTTCTAGGTTATATACCACTGTCTCTAGATTATATACCGTACCTCTAGATCATATACACCTGCTTCTAGGTTATATACCACTGTCTCTAGATTATATACCCGTGCCTCTAGATCATATACACCTGCTTCTAGGTTATATACCACTGTCTCTAGATTATATACCCGTGCCTCTAGATCATATACACCGCTTCTAGGTTATATACCACTGTCTCTAGATTATATACCCGTGCCTCTAGATCATATAACCTGCTTCAGATTATATACCTGTGCCTCTAGATCATATACACCTGCTTCTAGGTTTATATACACTGTCTCTAGATTATATCCCGTGCCTCTAGATCATTACACCTGCTTCTAGTTTAATATACCACTGTCTCTAGATTATATACCCGTGCCTCTAGATCAGTATACAAATACCCTGCTTCGAGGTTAGATATACCACTGTCTCTAGGTTATATACCCGTGCCTCTAGATCATATACACCTGCTTCTAGATATATAGACCTGTGCCGCTAGATCCATATACACCTGCTTCTAGGTTATATACCACTGTCTCTAGATTATATACCCGTGCCTCTAGATCATATACACCTGCTTCTAGGTTATATACCACTGGTCTCTAGATTATATACCCGTGCCTCTAGATCATATACACCTGCTTCTAGGTTATATACCACTGTCTCTAGATTATATACCCGTGCCTCTAGATCATATACACCTGCTTCTAGGTTATATACCACTGTCTCTAGATTATATACCCGTGCCTCTAGATCATATACACCTGCTTCTAGATTATATACCTGTGCCTCTAGATCATATACACCTGCTTCTAGGTTATATACCACTGTCTCTAGATTATATACCCGTGCCTCTAGATCATATACACCTGCTTCTAGGTTATATACCACTGTCTCTAGATTATATACCCGTGCCTCTAGATCATATACACCTGCTTCTAGGTTATATACCACTGTCTCTAGATTATATACCCGTGCCACTAGATCATATACACCTGCTTCTAGGTTATATACCACTGTCTCTAGATTATATACCCGTGCCTCTAGATCATATACACCTGCTTCTAGGTTATATACCACTGTCTCTAGATTATACCCGTGCCTCTAGATCATATACACCTGCTTCTAGGTTATATACCACTGTCTCTAGATTATATACCACTGCTGCATGGTTTCCAATCTGGCCCACTGCTATATCAGCAACTCTCTACTATATCATTCTAGTCTATTTCTGTCCTATCCAATAAACTAATAATTCTAAATCAATGAAAAAATCACAAAAATGTATGAATTAATAAAGCGGAACAGAAGGAAACTATGTAAAGGTGAAGTATATCTATCAGAGGTTTATTGGATAGACGAAGGACTCACATATCTGAGCTGCTGTGGTGCCCAGTACTGCTGATGACCATATGGGTATGGCTGGCCCTGGTTGAACCATGTGCGGTCCCAACCTACAGACAAACAAACCAAAATCAGTAATGTTATTGCTGTAACCATAGGTACCCCAAGGCATGACATATTACCAGACCAAACATATTAAGGAATAATTACACAGTAATAGCGGCACTCAAGTTTCCCCCCAAATATATATACATGTTTTCATCAATCATTCTCCCTGACCTCTCAAGTCACCAGCAGCCACTGGATTGTACCCCCCGTCCGTCTGGCCCTTGGGGAGGGGGTTAGGGGGGTTATAGTCTCGCGTGGCCATCCTTCCAAATCTCGTCTTGTTAAGGTGATAAGATTGATGTCCGAGGCTAGAGGGGTTATTGTATCGGATGCGGGGTTTCTTCCGTTGTTTAGGGGCGGAGGAGACAGGGGGGAGCAGGCTTTTCGCCTCCTTTTTGTACCCCTCCAAGAGAGCCTGTGACTCCTCTCTGGCTAGCTCCACAAACAGCACTTTCTCCAGCAGGTCCCCCTGCTCTGGCAGAGTGCAGCTCACTGGGGGGGAGGAGAGGACATCAAGACAGCATCAAAAGCAACCATACCTTCAGTTAGGTTCTCCTTTCACTGTATAGGCTTGCACAGTATGTTACTCCATTAAACTTAATCTGTGTGAAAACTATGCAACTCAGAACAACTCAAAGATTGATATGCTGCTACTCTATAGACGTTTTTGAATTGTGTAAATGCTTACGAAAGTATCCTTAAAAAGGTCATTGCTCATCTTCTGTATCGTATTTCCCTGACCTTTGACCTTGTGGAGATCAGTTTCAGGGATCTGGTCCCCCTCCTCCTCCTGTTGCTCCTGCAGACGCCTCTTCCACTCCTCTTTAGATGGGAACACCACCACCGCCCTCCGCCTGAAACCCCCGAACCACAGCAGCCTCTGGCGCTGAGCTGAGGGGTGGACGTTGGGCTGGGGACAAAGAAGAATACTTTATTGTCCAATTGTCTTTACAGAGAACTCCAATTCCTATTTTTTGCTCTGGGTTATTTAGGAGGGGGAGAGGTGGAGAGGCAACAAAGAGAGGAGTGGAGAGAAAGATTGTCTAAACCAGGGGTGTCAAACGTATGGCCCGCGGGCCGGATCAGGCCCGCAAACGGGTTTAATCCGGCCCGCGAGATGATTTTGAGAAAAAAAAAAATATATAATAATTTTTTTTTTTGTGTGTAAAGTATAAAAATGGGCTGCAATTTTTCAATAAAATAAACTGCTGTTACAATTGCGTCCACTGGATGGCGCAATAGCAATTGTGTTAAGCAAGCAAACTGTTTATACCGGGGCAGAGCAAGTAGGTCAAGCACGTGCAGCCAATGAGCTACTTTGTTTTGCCCGCGATATTTATTACGGCTTCTACTTTTAACATTATTTGCTTTGGCACCCTCATTGCCCCAATATGTCTCTGTCAAAAAAGAGAAAAGTGGACGCAGAGTGCAGAGTGTTCCAAGAAAAATGGTCATCCTATTTATTCACGGAATTGAATGGGAAAGCTGTATGTTTGGTGTGTTCAGAGCATGTTGCAGTGCTGAAAGAATATAACCTTCGTCGCCACTATGTGAGTCTTCATGCCGACAAATATGACAACTTTCAAGGACAGCGGAGATGAGAGAAGGTGAATGAACTGTTGGCGGGTCTGAAGAAACAGCAGTCTGTGTTTACTCACAGCCGAGACATCAGTGACGCTGCAGTGAAAGCTAGCTACCTCATTGCTAATGAAATCGCAGTGGCTTCAAAACCATTTAGTGAGGGTGAATTTGTAAAAACATGCATGATGAAGGCAGCGGAGATTGTGTGCCCTGAAAAGCGGCAGGCTTTTGCAAATATCAGCCTGACAAGAAACACAGTTGCAGACAGGATTTCCGATCTTTCAGTCATTTATTGCGTTTTCGGTTGCAATTGATGAAAGCACGGACATTACAGATGTTGCACAACTGGCCATTTTCATCCGCGGAGTTGATGACACATTGACCGTCACCGAGGAGTTCGTGGAGTTGGTGCCGATGACAGATACAACGACAGCAGCTGATATTTTTACCGCACTCGTCGGCGCGCTGGACAGGGTCGGAGTGGACTGGTCCCGCGCTGTCAGCCTGGCTACAGATGGTGCGCCCTCAATGATCGGGAAAAAAGCAGGCGTTGTGACAAAGTTCAGAGAGAAAGTGCAATCTGCAAATGGAGGACGTGATTTTTTGACTTTTCACTGTATTTTGCACCAGGAGGCTTTGTGTTGCAAGTCATTAAAGATGGATAACGTCATGAAGGTGGTCATCCAAACTGTTCATTTCATCCGATCCAGAAGCCTGAATCACCGTCAGTTTGACAGCCTTCTCAGAGAGAAAGACCACACCTATGGCCTGCCATACCACACTGAGGTAAGATGGTTAAGCCGAGGTGCTGTGCTGAGGCGTTTCTTTGATTTACGAGAAGAAATTGAACAGTTCATGGAAGAAAAGGGCAAACCAGTGTTAGAATTTCATTCCGCAGAATGGATGCAGGACCTTGCATTTATGGTGGATGTTACAGAGCACCTGAATAACTTGAACAAACAGCTGCAAGGGCGCAACAAAGTTGTCACGCAGTATTATGACAGCGTACGTTCTTTCAAGTTGAAGCTGTCATTGTGGGAGACGCAACTTGCCGGTGGTGATGCAGCTCACTTCCCCTGTCTGAAAAATGTGTGCGCGACCCAACATGTAGCAGACATGAAGCGGTTCAAAGATAAAATAACGGGACTGTTACGGGAGTTTGAGCAACGCTTTCAGATTTATGTTGATGTTTTTATGTTGATGTGCTATTGTTTTTAATTGATTTTATTTGTATATTTAACCTATTCTTGACTCTGTGGTTCTTGCACTTGTTTGGGGAACAGGATTTCATTATTTTTATCTACATTTCTGCCTGAGAAATGACACCCTGATATAGTTCTGTGATCTGTGATATACTTCTGTGAATCACTGAGGCATTGTGTGTTTGTCTGTTCTTTGTCCTCAGAACTTTCAAATAACTTGAGGTGTTTTATGATTAATAGTGATGTTGTGCTTTTGGACACTGTCCTCAGGCTCCAGCTTTATGTTTATATGTTTTTATGTTGATGTGCTATTGTTTTTAATTGATTTTATTTTATTTGTATATTTAACCTATTCTTGACTCTGTGGTTCTTGCACTTGTTTGGGGAACAGGATTTCATTATTTTTATCTACATTTCTGCCTGAGAAATGACATCCTGATATAGTTCTGTGATCTGTGAAACAGTTCTGTTAATCACTGAGGCATTGTGTGTTTGTGTGTTCTTTTTCTTTAGAATTTTCAAATAAACTTGACGTGTTTTATGATTAATAGTGATGTTGTGCTTGTACTATTTTGGACACACTGTCCTCAGGCTCCAGCTTTATGTTGTATGTTGATCGTATTAAAACAAAGAAAACAATCTGAAGTTGTTGTTTTTAAGTTATATATACCATGATTTTTCCGGTCCGGCCCACTTGGGAATAGATTTTCCTCCATGTGGCCCCTGAGCTAAAATGAGTTTGACACCCCTGGTCTAAACTATCACATTTTAATTATGATAGATTTTATTCCTGGCCTATCAGTTAATACACCATCCCTCTTTCAGGGAGCTAGCCTATCAATATTTAGCGCCCTATCAGCAGACCCTGCCTCCCCTGGTTGTCCTATCAAATATCTACCTACCTGGTCCAGGATGTAGTTGCGTGGAGTCTGAGCCGCCACCTTGATCAGCTCACTGAGACACTGAGAGGCCTGCTGCAGCCTGCTCTCTCTACGACCCTGCCCCTGTGGAGAGGAACACATAGGTACAGCCAACAACACACAGACACACAGACACACAGACACACACTTTTGGAAGTTATATAATCAATACGTGAATAAAACTATGAATAGTGTTAGTGTTATAATGGTGTTTTAATGGTGCAATAATGGTGTTATAATGGTGTTGTAATAGTGGGTAGTTGTGTGTCTGGTGGTCTGACCTTCATGCAGGGTAGGAGGCCTGCGGTGCCCAGCAAGGTGTATCTCTTCTCTGGGTGTTGCTTCATGTGAGCCCTGGCCCAGTGGGTCTTACCTGCCCCTGGCAGACCAACCATCATCAATACCTGAGGAAGAGAGAGGGGAGGGGTAGAGAGGGAGAGGTAGGAAGGAGGAGAGTAGGGAGGAGGAGAGGGGGTTAGAGAGAGAGGGAGAGGGGTTTGAGTAGAGAGGAGGGAGAGGGGTAGTGTAGGAGAGCGAGAGGTTAGAGAGAGGGAGGGAGAGGGGTTTAAGAGAGAGGAGGAGAGGGGTTAGAGAGAGGAGGAGGGAGGGGAGAGGGGTAGAGAGAGGAGGGAGAGGGGTAGAGAGTAGGAGAGAGGGAGAGGGGTAGAGAGTAGAGGAGGAGGGAGAGGGGTAGAGAGAGAGGAGGGAGAGGGTAGAGAGAGGAGGGAGAGGGGGGTGATAGAGAGAGGAGGGAGAGGGGTAGAGAGAAGGAGGGAGAGGGGGTAGAGAGAGGAGGGAGAGGGGTAGAGTAGAGAGGAGAGGGGTAGAGAGAGTAGGGAGAGGGGTAGAGAGAGGGGGAGGGGTAGGGAGTAGAGGGGTAGGGAGAGGGTAGAGAGGGAGGGAGAGGGGTAGAGAGGGAGGGAGAGGGGTAGAGAGAGGAGGGAGAGGGGTAGAGAGAGGAGGGAGAGGGGTAGAGAGAGGAGGGAGAGGGGTAGAGAGAGGAGGGAGAGGGGTAGAGCGTAAATAAAGTGCACACAGGCCAGAGGATAGAGTTCATGTTAGTGCTGGCAGCCATTGCTCTGTTCTGCTCTCTCACCTCACACTGCAGTTTGGAGGTTGGTGGGGTTGGGGCACTGAGCCTTTGTCCAGCAGGCAGGGAGGGGATGGGGGTGTACCCTGCAGGGCTGGGGTACCAGGGGGGAGAGGTGGGGTCCAAGTTGAGGGTGATAGAGGTGTTTTTGCAGAGGACGTGGGGGTACAGCACAGAACCCCAGAGAACAGCAGGACTCAGGTGGAACGCCACTCCCATAAGGCGACCGTTCTTATGGAAGGAGAGCTCAACTCCTTCCTCCTTAGAGAAAGACTATGGATGGAAAGATGCAGGGAGACACGAACAAACCCATAAACACAAAGCGAGGCACAGATGACTACAATAGTAATTCCAAGGTTTGTATTTTTTTGATTCTAACTGTTATCATTAAAATGGCATTTCAACATGTACTGTATTCAAGAGAGTGAAGAAAGGGAGGGAGGGGTTAAAAAAACTAGTGCCACTCACAGCATAACAGCCAATGACATCGCCCTCTGAAAAGGGCTCTCCAAACTCCTCCTCTTTCCCAGCCGTCACTTTTCTGCCCCTAGCGTCGTAACCGTAAGACAAGTCCACATCACCTGAATGAGAGACAGAAAGAAAAAAATCAGCACAAATCATACTGAAACACAGTATTTTATTCATAAGACTCAAAGAAGTACCTCTGTTAAACCAAGGGACATTTATAACCAGAACATATCCACATAATTGTCAAATTGTTTGTTGGAAAAACATTCAGTCCTTACCCAGCATCAGGCTGGAGTTCCAATGCTCCACTGACCAGCCCAGTCTCAGACCATGGTGCTCAGGGTCCTCAGGGTCCAGTGATGGGGACACCAGCTTTTTCTCAAACCTAGCCTCGAAGCCCACCCTCCCCTGGTGAGTTCCGTGTGTCAGCCTGCATCCAGACCACAGGAGAGGGCAGCGCTCCCAGAACCTTGGCTGGCCGCTGCAGCCGTCCCGGCCCACCTCAAAGTGCAGGTCACCGCCATCTGTGGAGATTGGGGAGGGAGCCCAACTGACCATTATCCAGCGTTTGCACTGACATCACACTGGTCAACCATGGCATTGAGAGAGAGAGAGAGAGAGAGATCCTTCATAATTAAACTCACAGGAGTCTAGTCTGACCCGTCCTTCTTCGGTATCAACACCATTACTCTCAGGCTGAGGCAATGGGGATTTGGCCCTGTGTAGAGAGACAGAGAGTGAGTTTGGTCATGTTTAAAGACACTCATCTGATGGGTAGGGGATAATTTCCCCAGGCTCACTCAGAAAACCCTGCAGAACTTGAGTCATGGAGGAAAGGTACTGTAAGTATACCTGTTGTACTGGATCTCCTCCTTGAATTCGTAGTAGGCCCGGCCTCTGGTCACCTCACCCTGAGCAGGCCTCTTCACCCACCGCTTCTCCCCTCCACCTCCAGGCCTATTTTCCTTGGCTTTCTCCATGTGAAACACTGCAACGAGAGAGGGAGAGGAGGGGGTTATGATTGATTGATTGATTGATCACTCTAAAAGTGTATGCCAATGTACAACATTGGTTATAAACCTGTAACATATGGATACCAGGGTTGGGGTCAATTCCATTTAAATTCCAGTCAGGAAGAACACTAAAATTCAAATTCCAATTCTCTTCAATTAGGATTTTTTTGTTTTTTTAAATTGGAGTTTGGTTCACTTTTTGAATTGACTGTAAATAAAATGGAATTGACCCCAACCCTGATGGATACAATAAAAATAAGCATTACATTATTCAGTGTGTGTCATATCATATCTACCTGTGTCCTGGCTGGTCTGGTCACTGGTCACAGAGACAGATCCCAGACTGAGGCTGGGTTCAGTGCTGCTCCCTCTCTGTGCTACCATGGAGAGACTGTCCTCCTCCTCCACAGCTGATCCGGCATGCTCTTCTTTAGACTGCCCAACAACCAACATACTTGTGTCTTGATACCCGATGTCTATCAGTGATATCTGTGATGTATTAAATGTATTTTGAATTGGACTGGTGCTCATGCTTGCTGTGTTCAGTTGTTGTTGTTTTGATGTCGTTTTCTCCTCCTCCATTGCTTCCTGTGTGGCAGTCCGTTTGGAGACTCCAAGTGCACGTTCAACCTCACTCTGTTGTTCTTGAGCGCTCTCTTCTTGGGTGACATGTTGCTGTTGTTCAACTTGTTGATTTAACGAGGTCTGATCCATCGACCCTTCTTTGTCTGCCGTGGTTTCTGCACACAGGCTCATGGCAAAAGTGCTGATTACACACACGTCTTCCAATTGACTTGTTGACATGTTATCAAGTTCGGCTGCTGAAATTGCAGGTGCCTCTGTGTCTGCACCGGTGGGAGAACAATCTGCTCCAGGTCCCACCATCATCTCTGAACTTGCCGCGCCTGCAACGTCTCCATCGTGTCCAGTGACTTTCGCCTCCTCTCCCGGTAGAGGGAATTCTCTCTCCATCGCTAACACTGTGGATGCTCTGGGTGACTCGTCATCTTGTGGCTTCGGCTCTTCTCCAAGACCAGGGACTCCCTTGTCTTGTCCAAGATCGCTTGATTCTGGAGCTTGCAATTTAGCTTCGAAAGCGGACATCAAACGCCCAACAAGTTCGGCCTTGAGTCCTTTGGTGTCCAGTCCTCTCTCTTTGAGCATGGCTCGTAGTTCGGCCACTTTTAGCCTTTTAACTTCTGACAGTTTCATTTTCCACTGAAATGTGCGTTGCTTTTATCAAGTTAAAAAAGTTACTTTACCTCATGAGCTTCCAAATGACTGTTCTGCAGTAAAAACTTTGGTAAAAGCAAGCGACTGCTCGCAGCCAAAACACACCCAACGACTGCTGTACTGTAAAATTCAATATGCAGTTCTACTCTCTGATTGGTCCATCGGGAAAATAACCCGCCTTGATATCCAAGCCCTATCTGCTATTGATGTAAATTGGGACCGCCCATAGACACGTCTCATTCCGCTGGACTGGGTTGACCAATCACACTTGCTTTATTCACCAAATAAGCGCAGATCTAGGATCAGCCGAAGTTGCTCAACCAATTGAAATGTTTGTCTACGAATGATCTAGAAACAAACAAAACTGATCTTAAATCAGCATCGGAGGGCAACTCGTAGTTCAATGCCTAGTGTAACGTCAACAAGTTATAAACATAGTCACTACACCCAAAATGATATTATTATTATTTTTTATTTTTTTACAAAGAATCAGTCATCATTCACAGGAAGATATTTTTATTGATTTACACAAACAGGATGATAAATAAAAACATGAACATAAATAACCAGTATAAAACATAATCAATATTGCCAGTAATACTCCAAAATGCAATAGATTATAGACAGTCTATCCCTCTTCCGGTTTCTTGCTCCGCTATCTGTGTGTCACCACAACTACTGAGGTCAAGGTTCAGAGTTTGAAGGTCAAGACACTTTTCAGTGTGTATTCTGTCTCTATCCTATACCTCCCTAAACCTTCTTGGCTCAGCCTAGTTCACACATATACTTGTTCTGATACTACTATCATCAAAGGCTATATATTTGTGAGAAATCTGGATGCTTCAAATGCCTTGAAAGCAGCTGCATCTACACAAATAGCATCATATGACAACCTTCACTAGAGGAAGAGAGTGATTCTGCGACACAATAAAACATTAATGTGTCTTGCTCACACAGTGATCCTGTTTGAATATAGTGTATCTCTTTCACAAATACCACATGCTTCTTGCTTCTCAATGAAAGTGCCACAGTACAAATGTGCATTTACTCAAAACAATGAATGACTTTTGCCTTGAGAGCTAATGCACACAACATGCAAATGGTACATTTGCCAACTTTGGAACTGTTGGATATAACAGACATACATATTGAACAAACACTTTTAGGCCATGTTTTGTTGAAACAGACAACCCTGTAAAATAATAACTTTGTATTTATATGTAACTAATTTGGCATGGCTCAGTCAGTCAGTCAGCTACCTTGTTATGAAGTTAGTGAGCTATGCACTGATTAATTTTGCTTATATAATACTGATTGTGATCACATATTAAACCATATGTCTAAGACTCTAAGATAAGATGGTACTAGTTAAATATCTAATTAATAAATGCCATAACACTACTTAATTTATTCCCTTTTTGGTTACCGTACGTTCAATTAATCCCCTTTGGTCTGAAAAATAATTGGTAGATGACAATGTAAGGTTGGACGTAGAACCCTGTTACATAAGAGGCTACAGTAAGTGGTGAATGGTGGTGGTGATGAGGTTTAGCAGAACAAAGGTGTTGGGGTTCAATAAAAACACTGGGTGTTGGTAGTGAGGGTTTATGAGGGATGGAACTCATAAAAATTCAAATGGCACGAACATGGGTTAAATCAAACTACAAACTGTAGTCCAGTCTCTTGAATCAATACATTCTCAGCTTTCTTTGTTTCATACAGAGTTCCACCCCTCATAACGGGTAGCTGCGTGGAGTTCCATTGAGGTTAGGGGTTTAGACAAAGATGACACTGGGCGCTGTTGATAGGGGTTGTGTGGGTGAGGGTGAGCCCCGGTCTGATCCTGATGAGCCTGAGGAGGAGGGAGAGTGACCCAGGAGATGCTCCTTCTCCCTGGGCAGGCAGGGCCCGCTGATGTGCTGGCTGTGGGAGTGGTAGAGACGCATGAAGGACAGGATGGAGTGGGTCAGCCACAATGCTGTCACGCTCCACAGAGCAACCTGGAGAGAGAGAGAAAGATTATTATCAGTTAAAGTATATATTATTAGTATTATTACAGAGAAACAAAAAGAGAAAGAGAGTTATTACACAATAATAATAATAATAATAATAATAATAATAAGAGGGGGTAGGTGGAAATAGAGAGAGCACAGAGAGGGAGAGAAAAACTGAAACTAAATCACAAGTACACTGACTCCCTCATGTTAATGCAATGCAGAAGATTTCTATTTTGAGCAGGGAAAGCCCACTGGCATGAGATGGGCCAGCTATGGGGGACTACATACCTCTGCCAGGGTGAGCTGAGTGAAGAAGGAGGACGTCTCTACATCCAGGTACATGGGGATGGACTGGTATTCTGCACAGCTGCACGCAAACAGACAGAGAGACAGGAAACTGTCAATGCTTAACAAGGCTACAGTCAAACCCCTGCAGCTTGACCCTCACACTCACTGCAATGTATGCGACACACAGGTCGATGCACAGTACTAGGGCCCAGAGTTTTTCCTGACCAAATGACCTGGCCTGGAAGACCCTAAAGTATGACCTGTTGATTTGTATGCCTCAGTATATGAACATTACCTGTAAGGTCTGGTGTTGTCGTCTGTGACAGTGTTGCACCAGGAGGCCAGCCCCAGGGAGAGGGTGACACTGGCCCCTCCTGACAGGAACAACACACACAGGCTCAGGATCAGGGTCAGGAAGGCGGAGAACAAGGTGCTGGAAAATAAATACAATAATAACATTGGTGACTGTGAACGAGTGAAAACATTGTAATTTGACATAAACTGTTATAACTATGTAATAGCAGGTAGCCTATGACACATAGGACTAATAATGCATTGCACAATTTGATATTTCATAATGGTCATTATTATTATTATCAGGCGATTTATGTCATTTACGTTTCCATTTGTATCGTTGTTGTTTTTTAAATATAGGCCTACTTTTTGTACTATTGATTAACTATTTCAAAGCCCATAGAAAGTGTACTCACTCGTCATGCCGTCCGTGGAGATAGAATATGCTTCTCCAGCCCTGCGCAGCACCATACAGCACCGTGAAAACACCGACAAAAGTTGCGAACTGGCATGCAGCCGGTGGACCCCATTGCTGTACCACCAAGTGTGAAATCTCACCCTGTTCACCAGAAATGTCGGTTCGATTGTCCGTCCTCCAAGAACCCGTGGTGAAAAGCGCACAACGCCCTTTGAAAGCTGAGCCGTTGAGCGCCAGCGGGACAACCACCATCAACCCGGCCAGGACTGATAGGGTGTGGGCTGCGCAGTGAGCCACCAACAGTCGCCGATCAAGCTCCATATCCCAAATATCCAAAAGGTCGACCAAAACGAACTAAATACAGGATATCTTAAGGCAGTACCGTCCCGTTTATTCGGTATTATCTTGAATTATTAAGCTACCATGTGTTATATTTCTGAAAGAAAACAGAGGATATTTAAAGAACAGCCTGCACGCAAACTGGCATTACAACACTCGCTTCCCCTTACAAATTTGCCAGTGACGTACTTGCATACGACACGTATGGGAGCATTGGACAAATGGCCTAGATAAGAGATGCAGTGAATTGCTGTCAAAACATTGTCATTTTGCAAATGTATTATTTGACTCAATCAATTGAGTGATACTTTTTAATCAATCATTATCCATAATAACGACAAATATGTGTTTTTTTAGTTATAAAATATGCATGGGACAGAATGTAGGCCAGGGTCGAAAGGGGGGACAAAGGCGACCCCCACCTCCTGTCATTTAAAGTCGGTCAGTAGGACAACATTAATCCGATCAACCTTCCTAACAATGGACCATTGCAAAAGTCTGTCCTATAAATAATGTATAGGATTACGTCATATACATAAGAAATACTGCAGCCTATGTTGCCTACAATTTATGAATTATTTTATTTGTTCCAACCAAACTTCTACAAACTTCTCACACCCTTCATCAATTCACCAAAGAGATAAACATTACACAATTGTACTTTACAGTATTGATGAACGCTCTTTCATTGATGGATGCATCACAGAGTCATGTCCATGTTGCTACAGCAGGTGGCGCTAAAATAAAAAACAATAAAATAAGTTCCGTTGCAGTCAAATAGGTTGGGTTACTCTCACCACGGAAGAAGAAAAAGCAGGAAGTGCCTGCCTGACCGCAAATGTTGTGATTGTTTGGATGTGCAGTTGCTAGGTGGACAAGTTCAAGTATTGTATTTGTCTTTTGTGTAAAGATCAATACACTGTAGGGTAAGTCGTTATTACACTTTTTTACAACGGTCAACATATGACGATGTCACGAAGTTACTTTGCATCTTGCTCGCTCACATGCTTGTCTATCGCGCAAGCTAGCGTCAATAAAAACGTTTTTTTCTTGTTAGCTCGTACAGGACCTAGGTAGGACAACCCAGATAACGCCTTAGTGAATGAGTTGAAATGACTTGCTAGTTCTTATTTTAAAAGCTAATGTGATTAACATCAAAGGGAGGTCTCAGATTCCAGGGTTATAGCATCTCCAAATCTTTACTCATATAGAAAAATTATAATATTGGTCACATACACATATTTAGCAGACGATATTGCGGGTGTAGCGAAATGCTTGTGTCCCTAGTTCCAACAGTGCAGTAGTATCTAACAATTCACAACAATACACACAAATATCAAAGTAAACGAATGGAATGAAGAAATATATAAATATTAGGACGATCAATGTCGGAGTGGCATTGAGTAGAATACAGTATATACATTTGAAGTGAGTAAAACATTATGTAAACATTATTAAAGTGACCAGTGTTCCATGTCTTTGTACATAGGGCAGCAGCCTCTAAGGTGCAGGGTTGAGTAACCGGGTGGTTGCCGGCTAGTGACAGTGACTAAGTTTTGTCTTAAGATTTAGTGTTGGTGTGTACCACCCAAGTAACACAACAATGTGTCAAGTCATCTAATATCATGTTTTCTCATGTACTTATGTTACCATCACCACTGGCCATCAAGTACCATGGCGAGTCCAGAGACACCAGGAGATGAGCGTATGGAGCTGGGGGCCGGGGCTGCAGTGGCAAGCTGTTCAGACTCTTCTTCTATCAAGCCTGGCCCCTCAGGTGCCAAAGTAGACTCCCACCTCCAAGATGCCATCCACCTAAAAACGCAGGGGAACAAATTCTACAAAGAGAAAAACCTTCGGTCTGCCATTGGACGTTACCACCGTTCGTTGCTCGTTCTGCGTAGTTTAGACTCTGATGTCACTGCGGCAGTGAAAGGGTTTGGTCCTGAGGCTCCTGTACTCACCGCAGGACAAGAGGAACTACTTAGGAACACACAGGTCGACTGCTACAACAATTTAGCAGGTATTACAGGCCTCGATAAGTGTCATGCAGTGAATTATCCTCTTAAAGTCATGCATAATGCTAAGCACAATGCGCAGTCCCCCCTCTTTCTTGACTTACATTTCTCCTCCCTTTTCTGTCTCTCTGTCACCCCCTTTCTCAGCCTGTCTGTTGCAGAGAGAGTGTGTAGACTACACGCGTGTCCAGGAGTACAGCTTGCGGGTGTTGAAGTGGCGTCCGGGTGACATCAAGGCCCTGTACAGAGCAGGAGTGGCCTCTCTGCAGCTGGGAGACGCACAGAGTGCCAAGCAATACCTCACTCAGGCCAGCAAAGGACAACCCAACGGTAGCTCAGCCTTTTGGTTACTATCTTCCTGGTTAGGGACTGCTCTCCCTACCACAGCCTTTGAGTAAAACAAAACAGATTATTGATGAGTTGTGAGGGCGTGTTATAGGCATACTATTCTATTCCCCAACAGAATGAAGTAGATCACAGCTCAGTTGGTAGAGCATGGCGCTTGCAACGCCAGGGTTGTGGGTTTGATTCCCACGGGGGGCCAGTATGAAAAATGTATGCACTCACTAACTGTAAGTCGCTCTGGAAAAGAGCGTCTGCTAAATGACTAAATTTTTTTTTTTTTAAATGTAAATATATTGTATTATTGTGTCTCTATGCTATTCCCATTCCCCTAATGTTGACTGAAATTTGAATTTCTTTATTTGTCACTGTATCTCTTTGACAGACACTAATGTGAGGAGGCACTTGCAGCAAGCAGAGGATAGGCTGAGCACAGAGTACCAGAAGGAGAAGGCTCTGTACCGAGGCATGTTCTCCTCCAGTCAGAGAGCCGGGGAGGGGGCCAGCGGTGGAGTCGCCCAGAAATAAGTTCCCATCAGGGGGGATGTTCTGTTGTTCTGACCCTGAGGATTGAAAAGAAAGAGGAAACAAACCTAGACTGGACTACAGCACGTTAGAAGGACTTGGCCTGAGCAAGGCCGGTTGGCTAATATTGATCACATAATATATTGATCACATAATGAGTAGTTATTTGCCTGATGACCAACAGGAAGCTAAGTTGTTGGAGGTTCAAAAGGGTTGAAGGTCAAAGCGAGGGTACTAAAGAGAGACTGTTTTGTGCGCTGTTCAAACTCAAAAGTAATGTTATGCCTTCTGAATGTGGTTGTTTCTGGTCTAATGATCAGTTATGTGTTACTTTTTGTGTACAAAATGTTTTGATTCAACTTAATAAATATTTTTTTGAAATGACAGCATTATACTGGCGTTACTACAGCGCTACACTGGCGTTACTACAGCGAGGTGGATGGAAGTATTCAGAGTCAAATAAGTTGAATTAGTTGCCTTTATTAATAATAATAATCCAAGATACACGCATTTGTTTCAAATAACATTTTATTCTTAATATTATAATTTTATTGATATCCATTTCAAAATCCTGAGCACAATATTAATTTATAGAACATTTTGTTTGCTGATTTTGGTTTTTATAGCCAATATGATTGTACTTCAAAGGCAACATACAGTGTATAAAACTTATATTTGATATACACTCAGAGAGGAGAACAAGCTCACAGACTAACGATAGCTATGACAGCGCACAGAGATAAGTCACAGAGCTGCATGCGGAGGGGACCACTCACACAGGCACACACAGTCACACACAGTCGCATAGTACTACTGAGAGTCAAGTTCAACAGAATCAAGTTTAGAAAGGGAAAACATTGGCACCCCCTTATCACCACCCAAAATACTGACTGAAATATTGACTGTAACTTAGTGGCAAAAACACTTTCTGGGTGCATTCATTCATTGTGATTGTCTCACTTCCTCGACGTCTTGTGTTTCAAACTGAGAGACCTCACTGAGCTAAACACCCTTTTACTCAGGTCCCTCAGTGAGCGTGAGCGTGTGAGGGGTTGCTGAGAAGGAGGAGGGGATGGAGAGAATGATGGGGAGGAGAGAGGAGAAGAGAGGGAGGGACAGCTACCCTCCAGACTCTGAGAGCGAGAGAGGTGGAAGAGGCTGGCAGTAGAGGACAAGCGCTTGTCTTCTTCCTCTCTTCCTCCCAACGCCAACGGACAAACCCCCTCCACGCTGAGCTCCATGCCCCTGTCGATGTCCAGGGAGGAGGTCCACTGTGCCCCCCTCAGATGCTCCTCTTTTAGGGCTCGAGGATCCAGCACATCCCCCTGGGACTCACTGCGGAACAGAGCCTGTCTGGACAGCCTCAGGCTGGAGCTACGCTTGTCCCAGCCACCACCACCACCCTTCCCTTTGCGTTTTGAGGCACTGCTCTCTTTCTGTCGCCTCTCTGTCTCTTTGTTGGCCTGCTGCTTCTCCTTTTGGTAATCTTTCTCTTTTCTCCTGATCCCCTCTCTCTTCCACATCTCCTTGTTCTCCTCCTCAGCCTCTTTCCCCCATGAACGCCCTTCAAAGCCCCTCCAGAGTTTGGCCACCCCCTTCTTTGGCGTCTGGGCCGCACCGTGACTGCCTTCCTCTTCACAGTTGCTGCTGTAGCACCTCCCTTTCCTGTGGAAGCTGCTCACCGTCGATGCCCTCACCAACTCCCTCGACGCATGCTTCCCCTGGTAGAGCCCCTCCCCATCCACCCTCTCCCATCCTTCTCCCTCCCCATCTACCCTCCATCTACCACCTCCACCCCCTGCACACTGCCGTAGCGACCCCCCTCTGGGCCGGATGCTGCCCCCTGGCAGGGCGCACTGGAATGGGTCATCCCGTCGGAACACAGAGAATGGAGTAGTGGCGAGTGGGGAGGGCTGGAGAGGGCGGGGTGGGGAGCGTACCCTGGGGCGGTCACGGGACGAGGGGGAGGAGGCGGTGGAGGAGGGGTCAGATGGCGAAGGGGTTTGTTGGCAGTGGAAGGTGTGTGTGTGGTGGTGGGTGACATGATGATGGGTAGGTAGGTGGGTTGAGGTGGACTGGTAAGGGTGATTGGGGCTCCTGGAATGGGAACTGGAGGAGTTGGGAGGAGTGAGGCCGGAGTGGGACTGTGAGGAGTGGGTGACACTGAGGGACAGATGGATCGGCCTCTGGGGGTCAAGGTCAGTCTCGTTACTGGCGTGGAGGTGGCGGATGCTGGAATATTCATGATGATGAGACTGGTGATCATTCTGGGCTGTCTGGCGAGAGGAAGGGGAGTAGCTTTGGCCTTTAAACTCTGACCCCTGACCTTTTCTCTCGGTGTCGCTCTGAAAGCAGTCGACATCCAGCTCCACGCCCTGCTCCATCAGGCCCACCACCACAGCCCAGGGCAGGCCAGAGAGACGGGAGATCTCCCTCACCATTGCCGAGTCCTCGCTGAGCTTACTAGGGCTGGTGTCCGGGGCATTGATGCTGGGTTGACTCATTGCGACTTTCCCTGGTGAAGAATCCAATCCACTCCAGTCCAGCGAGCGGGAGAACCCTAGCCCTGACCCAGCCCCTGACCCAGTGACCTCCAGAGAGCTCCGGTGATTGAGGTTGGAGGGACAGGTTGAGATGCGTGGCCGCGCCCTCAGGGCAGGGGTGGGAGTGGCGGCGGTGGAGAGGGAGGAGGTGGAAGGAGAGGGGGAGGCAGTGGGGGTAGCATGGTCACTCTTTAATCCACCACTAGTGCTAGTGCTAATACCTTCTTTGGAGTTTTTCGAGTCCAAATCCAGTTTTTTGTTCAGATTGGGGCTGAGGTTGAGGTTGAGGTTGAGGTGGAGGTTGATTTTGAGGTCTTCTCCCGTCACTGAGGGCAGGTGGCCCAGGTTGATGGAGTTCCTACTGGCCTTCTTACCGATACTACTCAGGCTGACCCGTGCAGAGTTTCCCAGAAAGGACTTGCAGGGCGTCACACTGCCCCCTGTCAGGTTGGAGGGGGTACTGCGGCTCTCGAAGGCCGACAGCGACTGAGTGGAGCCGTGGCCAGGGGTTCTGGGGCCCCTGTGGGAGCCTGGCCCGGGGATGGCGGTAAGGGTGGTGTCAGGGTGGGCAACCCGGCTGCGGTACTGGCGAGCCAGCCTGGTGATGTACTGCTCCAGCTGGGTGAAGGTGGAGGGGTGAGGAGGCTGGGGGGGCCAGAAGAGGGGAGTGGACTGAGATTCTTCAGCCTGGGTAGAGGAGTCCGGACTCGGCAAGAGGCAAGGGGAGGGAGAGAGGTCCTGACTGTAGGTGAAGAGGGGGCTCTGGAGGGCCACGGCATGGAGGGGGCTGGGGTACGGGTACACCTCCTTGGTCCTCCGGGACACCAAGTCAGAACAGAACCTGGGGTCGAGTTGGGGATCGGGGGTCAGGGAGTGGGAGGAGGGAGCCGGGATGGGGGTCGCCCAGGCTGGAGCACAGGTCAGACAAGAAGAGGAGGCTGTTCAGTTCCAGCTCACCTGAGATCAAACGACGAGAGGCAGAAAGTTGATGAATGTCCGTCAGCTTATAAAGAAGCAAAAGCATTTATCTAGGACTATGGTCCCAGGACTCTCTGGAAAACAGTGACAATTATCTAGGACTATGGTCCCAGGACTCCCTGGAAAACATTGACATTTATCTAGGACTATGGTCCCAGGACTCCCTGGAAAACAGTGACAAATATCTAGGACTATGGTCCCAGGACTCCCTGGAAAACATTTATAAACATCTAGGACTATGGTCCCAGGACTCCTTGGAAAACAGTGACAATTATCTAGAACTATGGTACCAGGACTCTCTGGAAAACGTTGACATTTATTTAGGACTATGGTCCCAGGACTCCCTGGAAAACAGTGACAATTGTCTAGGACTATGGTCCCAGGACTCTCTGGAAAACAGTGACAATTATCTAGGACTATGGTCCCAGGACTCCCTGGAAAACAGTGACAATTGTCTAGGACTATGGTCCCAGGACTCTCTGGAAAACAGTGACAATTATCTAGGACTATGGTCCCAGGACTCCCTGGAAAACAGTGACATTTATCTAGGACTATGGTATCAGGACTCTCTGGAAAACATTTACATTTATTTAGGACTATGGTCCCAGGACTCCCTGGAAAACAGTGACATTTATCTAGGACTATGGTCCCAGGACTCCCTGGAAAACAGTGACATTTATCTAGGACTATGGTCCCAGGACTCCCTGGAAAACAGTGACATTTATCTAGGACTATGGTATCAGGACTCTCTGGAAAACAGTGACAATTATGGCTGAATGGCTTCTACTGGTTAAATACAGATGAACTGTACTGAAGAGTAAGTGAGTGCATTTGAATGTGCCCGTACAGTGCATTCGGAAAGTATTCAGACCCCTTGAATTTTTCCACATTTTGTTACGTTACAGCCTTATTCTAAAATTGATTAAATAGTTTTTTCCCCTCATCAATCTACACACAATAGCCCATAATGACAAAGCAAAAACTGAAATATCACATTTACATAAGTATTCAGACCCTTTACTCAGTACTTTATGGAAGCACCTTTGGCAGCGATTACAGCCTCGAGTCTTCTTGGGTTTAACGCTACAAGCTCGGCACACCTGTATTTGGGGAGTTTCTCCCATTATTCTCTGCAGATCCTCTCAAGCTCTGTCAGTTTGGATGGGGAGCGTTGCTGCACAGCTATTTTCAGGTCTCTCCAGAGATGTTTGATCGGGTTCAAGTCCGGCCTCTGGCTGGGCCACTCAAGGACATTCAGAGACTTGTCCCGAAGCCACTCCTGCATTGTCTTGGCTGTGTGCTTAGGGTCATTGTCCTGTTGGAAGGTGAACCTTCGCCCCAGTCTGAGGTCCTGAGCGCTCTGGAGCAGGCTTTCATCAAGGATCTCTCTGTACTTTGCTCCTTTCATCTTTCCCTCGATCCTGACTAATCTCCCAGTCCCTGCCACTGAAAAACATCCCCACACCATGATGCTGCCACCACCATGCTTCACCGTAGGGATTGTGCCAGGTTTTCTCCAGACGTGACGTTTGGCATTCAGGCCAAAGAGTTCAATCTTGGTGTCATCAGACCAGAGAATCTTGTTTCTCATGGTCTGAGAGTCCTTTAGCCTTTTGGCAATCTCCAAGCGGGCTGTCATGTGCCTTTTACTGAGGAGTGGCGTCCGTCTGTCCACCCTACCCTTCAGGCCTGATTGGTGGAGTGCTGCAGAGATGGTTGTCCTTCTGCAAGGTTTTCCCATCTCCAGAGACGTACTCTGGAGCTCTGTCAGAGTGACCATCGGGTTCTTGGTCACCTCCCTGACCAAGGCCCTTCTCCCCCGATTACTCATTTTGGCCGGGCGGCCAGCTCTAGGAAGAGTCTTGGTGGTTCCAAACTTCCTCCATTTAAGAATGATGGAGGCTACTGTGTTCTTGGGGACCTTCAATGCTGCAGACATTTTTTGGTACCCTTCCCCAGATCTGTGCCTCGACACAATCCTGTCTCGGAGCGCTACGAACAATTCCTGATCTCATGGCTTGGTTTTTGCTCTGACATGCACTGTCAGCTGTGGAACATTATATAGACAGGTGTGTGCCTTTCCAAATCATGTCCAATCAAGTTGTAGAAACATCTCAAGGATGATCAATGGAAACAGGATGCACCTGAGCTCAATTTCGAGTCTCATCGCAAAGGGTTTGAATACTTACGTAAAGAAGGTATTTCTGTTTTTTATTTGCAATAAATTTGCTAAAATTTCTAAAAACCTGTTTTCGCTTTGTCATTATGGGTTATTGTGTGTAGATTGAGCAAATTGTTTTATTTAATAAATGTTAGAATAAGGCTGTAACGTAACAAAATGTGGAAAAAGTAAAGAGGTCTGAATACTTTCCGAATGCACTGTATGTGTGTTATATCTGTGTTATATCTGACCCGTAGGCACTGGTCTCCTATCAGCGATCTCTGTGGTCTCCTCAATGCTCTGAGTTCTTGGCTGCTGCGCGGCCTCCGGCCACTGGGTGTCACTGTGGTCTGCAGAGAGGGGCCGCTGCTCCCACAGCCTGAAGGCTCCCCCTGAGGGTGGTCCTGGTCCAGCACGGACTAGCCCACCTGGAACTGGACCCCCCTGGGCCATGGCTGCCTCACTGGACACAGAGTAGCAGGAGTCTGATAGGGAGCTGCCACTGACCGAATAAAAACCTACAGAGGGAGGGAGGGTGGGAGAAATACAGAGGGAGGGAGGGAGGGTGGGAGAAATAAAGAGGGAGGAAGAGAGATGGGGAGAGAGAGATAAATAGAGAGCGAGAAAGCAAGAGGGAGTGTAGGCCAAGAGAGAGAGTGAGAAGGTGGTCACCAGAAAGAGTGATTAAGTGGTGTTGAGAAGATAACAAGGGAGGAGTAAATAAAGGAACAGGGAGAGGAGAGGGTTTGTATTTAATATGGCTTTGCAACATGGCATCTCACAAAGTAAACAAAACTGTCTCAGAAGGTGAGAAGCTTTGTTGGTTAAGGCAGGGCCAGATTACCGAATGGGCATGCAGGGCTGGAGGTCAGGGCCCCTCCAGATAGCATATGAATGTGTCGGTTGTGGGCCCACTGGAGGTCAGGCCTCCCAGAAAGCATACTATGAACACGTTGGTTGGGGGCCCCCTGGAGGTCGGGCCCCCCCAGATAGCATATGAACACATCAGTTGTGGGCCCCCTGGAGGTCGGGACCCCCCCAGATAGCATATGAACACGTCATAACCATTGCTTTTTCGGGTGGGGGCCCTGGAGGTACTGTAGGTGTTCCGGGGCCCCAGAATTGGTAGTCCGGCCCTGGCCAAAGCCCTATGAGTGTCACAGACCACCCCCAAATGACCCCCCATGGTACAATCACACAACCACACAGCCCAGTACCTGAGCTGTGCCTGGAGTAATACTCCAGCTGGACTGCACTATCAAGGTCCGGGGGTAAGAGCAGGTCAGACGGGGCATCCCAAGAGAGGGTGGACCAGCGTGAGTTATCCCCTCCACCCCCATCAACTCTGGAATGAACCGGCCCATCTCCTCCAGAGTTCTCCCCACTGTCCTTGTCCAATGTGCTGGTGTGGCACGGTAACGCTGTTTCTGAAGGAGGAAAGGAAACCTGAAAGACAGAAAACAGAAAACAGGGGTGTTCAAGTCACAACACATCTTTAAAGAGATGATACTTAGAGAGTGGTGTAGAATGGATCTCTAATGTTCTTATTTACCAAACACTGATGTCATCAGCCTTACTGGAAGTTCTAGAACACTTGTGAAGGTAATGTATTCTTTCTCCTCAATAGCCAATTCATGACTAAGGGGGGATGACAGGGGAGATGACAGGGGGGTGACAGGGTGAATGAAAGGGGGGTGACAGGGGGGTCTCTTTCTCTCTCTGTCTCCTCTCTCTTCTGCTACTTTTTCCACATTTTATGAAGTTAGAAAAGTCATTTTATAATGGGAAGTGAGCGGGTGCTTGAGAGTGGGGGAGCTAATGGAGAGTGAAAAGAGGGGAGTGAAAGAGTGAGTGAGTCAGGGAGGGAACAAGTGTGTGAAAGAGGCACCTTGATGGATACCCCCCACCCCCCGCCTCAACCCCCATAATAACTTCAAGCCACCCCCTCCTCACCATAGCTACAGCTGCTCTCAATTCAATTAATGTCAATTGAAAGGGATTTATTGGCATGGAAAACATATGTTTACATTGCCAAAGCAAGTGAAATAGATAATAAACAAAAGTGAAATAAACAATAAAAAATGAACAGTAAACATTACACTCCATAGGAATAAAGACATTTCAAATGTCATATTATGTCTATATACAGTGTTGTAACGATGTGCAAATGCTCCAGTTCCTGTTCACTCTCCACCCACACAACAGACCTAGCAGAAGAACATCTAACTCATCCAGATCCTGCCTGCCTGCCTGCCTGCCTGCCTGCCTGCCTGCCACACACTAAAAGACAAATAACAAATGCCCTAAGATTCACACATACACTAGCTTGCACATGCAAACAAACACACACACAGAAAGCGAGCTCACACACACAGTTGCACGAGTGTGCACACACACGTGCACACACACACTGATAACCGTACAAACACATGTCCACCCCCCCCACACCTGCATGGACATAAAGTTGCCACAGTGTAAAGTTATAGTATGATCAAATCAGGAGGAGAGAGAGTGAGGCAGGTGGGGGCCCCTCAGTGCTAAGAGCTCTGTAATATGATATCCTTCTATGTGAGACAGAGAGACACTGCCATTTTCCCTAATGGAACAACGCACACACAATGCACAGACAATTACAGCAAATACTCCAATAAGAATGAAGGATTATATAATATGAAAGTATAACATACTTTTGTGACATATTTTCATGAAGCTTTTATGTAGGGCTTACGAACACTTTATGAATGCTCTATAAAGCCTTTATAAGTTATTTTCAAAACGGGACGCTTTTAAAAAAAATGTCATGTTGGGAAAGGTAGGCTACATTATTAACAGCACTAGCAGGCAGACATTGGTTATGCATTATTGATTAATTCTGTTGACTGCAACTGAAGAAGCGGAGGAGCCAGAGGAGCCTGACGTTTCAATCCAAGATAATGCCCTCTGATGTTTATCTGTCTGGGCTGGAGGTTGATATATGGCCAGCAATACATGTCATGGTCCAAATGGAGGCTGGAGGTTGATATATGGCCAGCAATACATGTCATGGTCCAAATGGAGGCTGGAGGTTGATATATGGCCAGCAATACATGTCATGGTCCAAATGGAGGCTGGAGGTTGATATATGGCCAGCAATACATGTCATGGTCCAAATGGAGGCTGGAGGTTGATATATGGCCAGCAATACATGTCATGGTCCAAATGGAGACTGGAGGTTGATATATGGCCAGCAATACATGTCATCTCCCCTCTCCCCTCTCCTCTCCTCTCTCATCTCTCCTCTCCTCTCTCATCTCCCCTCCCCTCCCCTCTCCTCTCCTCTCTCATCTCCCCTCTCCTCTCCTCTCCTCTTTCATCTCCCGTCTCCTCTCCTTTCTCATTTCTCCTCTCCTCTCTTCTCTCATCTCTCCTCTCCTCTCCTCTCCTCTCCTCTCCTCTCCTCTCCTCTCCTCCTCTCCTCTCCTCTCCTCTCCTCTCCTCTCCTCTCCTCTCCTCTCCTCTCCTCTCCTCTCTCCTCTCCTCTCCTCTCTCTCTCTCTCATCTCTCTCATTCCCTCTCCTCTCATCTCTCCTCTCTCTCTCTCCTCCTTTCCCTCTCCTCTCCTCTCTCTCCTCTCCTCTCCTCTCCTCCCTTCCTCTCCTCTCCTCTCCTCTCCTCTCCTCATCTCCCTCTCTCCTCATCTCCCTCCTCTCATTCTCGTCTCTCTCTCCTCTCTCGTTGCCCCTCTTCCAGCAGATAGGGTGTCTGTCATCTTCAACAACAGCAGAAGCAACATGTCGCTCCATTTGTTGTTTAATATGCAAATCAGGGCTGCGTTGGCGGATGGAAGGGCAGTTACAGAGCTATGGTGTTGGTGATGACTAATACTATCTAACATAGCATAGGATGGATGCTGCTGAAAGCCACAGGGAACCTATAAAAAATAAATTGGTGCACAGGGTTTCTGAGAAGGAAAAAGCAGTAAGTAGAATGTTGTGCTGATTCCTTCCCTCTGGATCAGTTGATCATGCTCTATTTGATTTATAAAATGGAATGACTTGACTTTTCCCAATTACTGGAGTTAAGTGACTGTTCACCAAACACTGTAACAACAAAGCAGCATGGTAGCCTACCCTACATGAGGACAGGGGGTTCACACAGACTAACAGGTTAAGCTTCAGACTTCAAACTCAGATATGAGGCAGTGTAGGGCTCTGTGGCCTTCTGCATTATATTCTTAGTATTGTACAAACTAGGCCTAACAGATGTCCAAATGGTACAATGAAAGCGGAAGGCCGCATCCATGGTGAAAGAGTTCAAGTGAATAACAAGATCTTTATTCAATAGGTCTACTTCATCCTGTGTGCCAAGTTGTTTTACTATGGGGCTTTCCCAATCAAATAATTTTATCTCACACAAAAAGATCAACATATTCCCATACAGTAGCCTACTTACAAAGAAGATGTTTGGCCTATACAGAATATAGAACTCAGTAGAAATCTGCCATCTACAGTATGACCTGACCTAGGTGTATGATTGTATCTATAGGGTGTGTCCCACAGTGTACATTCTTTACACAGATACATTTCTATGTGATGTCCTTGGGGAAAACTGGAATGTGAAAAGATGTGGGCATTGACACTCATCATATGAGATCCATAAAGGGGACAGAACCATAACACCCTTTGTCTTCTTAACCTTGACTGATACAAGACGGAATTAGATGCAGTAGAGGCAGATGGATTGCTGTCAATTATATTGGACAGATAAAACACCTTTGTGTAATGTAGCTCCGTGCTTATGACTCCATCGTTCAATCAGTGGAGAAGCGTAGCTCAGCAGTCTGTTTGATGGAACGGGATTGGAATACCCTACTGGCAGATCAGAATGCATTCATATTTAATAACGACCAATCTTGTCAAGAGATCTAGGGCTACATACACACTAACCTGTTGCCTGCGGGATGTCGCAGAGCCATCGGATGCTGCGCTCTCGAGGTTTTCCTCCTGTTGATCGGTGATGACAGTCACGGTGGTACCGGTGCTGCTGGTTTCTTTGAGGTCCAGTTCAGCATCGATCATGTCTAGATGTTGTCCCCGGAGCAGGTCCAGCTCTAGGATTCCGGCCAGGGTCGCTTTCAGACGCTCGCCAATCCGAACCCGCTCGGTGCCAGACCAGAGCGAATTCACACAGCTGCCGCGGCCAGCCATTGTGGCGGCTGAATCGGCGGTGCTTGATGAGCTTGGTGAGCTCATGAGCTTGGTCTCAATCACAATGGGCTATGGTCCAGCACAAGTCAGTGCAACATATGTTCTGACAATCAACAATAGCAAGATTGTATCCTCCCGCCCAGCTCAACCAATGATTCGTTGGCAAAATTGCCTAGCCTACTTAATTATCTCTAAACCATAAGATTATAGGCTACAGTGAAGCATGCCGACTAAAGATTCACATGTATAACAATAAGGAGATTATCAAACCATATTCCATCTTAATCCTCTATATTGGTTTCATATTAGGATCACCCAAGGGGGGTACCTATGTACCTATAATACCTATGTTAGAATGCTGTTAATTGACTACAGCTCTGCATTCAACACCATAGTGCCATCCAGGCTCATCACTAAGCTTGGTACCCCTCTGCAACTGGATCCTGGACTTTCAAACGGACCGACCCCAGGTAGTAAAATTAGGCAACGCCTCCGGCACGCTGACACTCAACACAGGGACCTCCAGGGGTGTGTACTTAGCCCCCTCCTGTACTCCGTTAGCCCACGACAGTGTGGCCACGCACAACTCCAACACCATCATCAACTTTGCTGATCACCAACGGCGATGAGACAGCCTACAGGGAGGATGTCAGAGACCTGGTAGTGTGGTGGCGGGACAACAACCTCTCCCCCAACGGCAGCAAGACCAAGGAGTTGATCGGGGACTTCAGGAAACAGGGGCCACAGTGGAGAGGGTCAAGAGCTTCAAGTTCCTCGGTGTCCACATCACTGAGGACTTAACATGGTCCTCCCACTCCAGCACAGTCATGAAGAAGGCATGACAGGGCCTCTTCTCCCTCAGGAGGCTGAAACGTTTTGGCATGGCACCTCAGATCCTTAGGAACTTTTACAGCTGCACCATCGAGAGCATCCTGACTGGTTGTATCACCGTCTGGTATGGCAACTGCACCGCCCTCGACCTGGAAGGCCCTACAGAGGCTGGTGAGGACGGCCCAGCGTATCACTGGAGGTGAGCTCCCAGCCATCCAGAACTTTCATGCCAGATGGTGTATGAGAAAGTCCCGAAGAATTGCCAAAGACACCAGCCAACCGAGACATGGACTGTTCTCCATGCTCCTGTCCGGCAGGCGGTACCGGTGCATCAAGGCTGAGATCAACAGACTCCTAAACAGCTTCTATCCCCTGGCCACAAGACTGTTAAATGGCTAACAACTACTGCTCCCCCTCACCTACGCTGCTGCTAAAATGATTATTGATTAGCTGTATTATTACACTACGCTACTGTTCATTGATTATTGATTGCCATTACCTTTAGTATCTATCTATTTCATCCTGCTACTCGTCACTATTACTTCTGTTTACATGTACACAGTATATTACCACTAGTATATTACCACTAGTATATTACCACTACTATATTACCACAGTATAGTATCACAGTATATTACCACTAGTATATTACCACTAGTATATTACCACAGTATATTACCACTAGAATATTACCACTAGTATATTACCACTAGTATATTACCACTAGTATATTACCACTAGTATATTACCACTAGTATATTACCACTAGTATATTATCACTGGTATATTACCACTAGTATATTACCACAGTATATTACCACAGTATATTACCACTAGTATATTATCACTAGTATATTACCACTAGTATATTATCACTAGTATATTACCACTGGTATATTACCACTAGTATATTACCACAGTATATTACCACAGTATATTACCACTAGTATATTATCACTAGTATATTACCACTAGTATATTACCACTACTATATTACCACAGTATATTATCACAGTATATTACCACAGTATATTATCACAGTATATTATTACTGGTATATTACCACTAGTATATTACCACAGTATATTACCACAGTATATTACCACTAGTATATTATCACTAGTATATTACCACTAGTATATTACCACAGTATATTACCACAGTATATTACCACAGTATGTTACAACTAGTATATTACCACTAGTATATTACCACTAGTATATTACCACTAGTATATTACCATAAGTATTTATACACTGAGTATACCAAACATTAAGAACACCTTCCTAATATTGAGTTGCACTTGCACCCCCCATTTGCCCTCAGAACAGCCTCAATTCGTTGGGGCATGGACTCTACAAGATGTCGAAAGCATTCCACAGGGATGCTGGCGCATGTTGACTCCAACACTTCCCACAGTTGTGTCAAGTTGGCTGGATGTCCTTTGGGTGATTGACCATTCTTGATACACACGGGAAACTGTTGAGTGTGAAAAACCCAGCAGCATTGCAGTTCTTGACACAAACCGGTGCGTCTGGCACCATAGCAAAAGGTGAATGCACCAATTTGTAAGTCACTCTGGATAAGAGCGTCTGCTAAATGACGTAAATGTAATGTAAATGTAAAGGCACTTAAATATTTTGTCTTGCACATTCACCCTCTGAATGGCACACATACACAATCCATGTCTCAATTGTCTCAAGGCTTAAAAATCCTTCTTTAACCTGTCTCCTCCCCTTCATCTACACTGATTGAAGTGGATTTAACAGGTGACATCAATAAGGGATCATATCTTTCACCTGGATTCACCCGGTCAGTCTATGTCATGGGAAGAGCAGGTGTTCTTAATGTTTTGTACACTCAGTGTATTGTCCTGCTACCAGTCATTTTTCAGCCCTGTTTACATGTATATCCGAATATCCCGCATACACTGACACTCTTACACACACACTCACCACCACTTATGCTGCTGCCATACTGTTTACTATTATTATTATTATTATTATTATTATTATTTATCCTGTTACCAGTCACTTTGTCCTAATCCCAGCCTACATGTACATATCTACCTCAATACTCCAGCATCCCTGCACACTGTAAATGTGGTATTGGCACTGACCCTGTATATAGCTTCCTCTCTTATGTCTCATGTTTTCTTTATTATATATATATATATTATTAGTTCTACTATTTTGATATTGATTACTGCACTGTTGGGTAGAGCTTGCAAGTTAAACATTCCACTGCATGTGACAATAAAACTTGAACTTGAACCCGATGATGCAAAGCTTGTTGCAAAAAGTGTTACAAAGCCTCCTCAATTGAAATACACTGAACAAAAATATAAATGCAACATGTAAAGTGTTGGTCCCATGTTTCATGAGCTAAAATAAAATACATTTTCCATAAGCACAAAAAGCATATTTCTCTAAAATGTTTTGCACACATTTGTTTACATCCCTGTTAGTGAGCATTTCTCCTTTGCCAAGATAATCCATCCACCTGACAGGTGTGGCATATCAAGAAACTGATTAAACAGCATAATCATTACACAGGTGCACCTTGTGCCGGGGACAATAAAAAGCCACTCAGTTTTGTCACACAACACAATGCCATAGATGTCTCAAGTTTTGAGGAAGCGTGCAATTGGCATGCTGACTGTAGGAATGTCCACCAGAGCTGTTGACAGATAATTTAATGGTCATTTCTCTACCATCCAACGTCGTTTTATTTTTTTATTTGGCAGTACATCCAACCGGCCTCACAACCGCAGACCATGTGTAACCCCGCCAGCCCAGGACCTCCACATCCGGCTTCTTCAGGATCATCTGGGACCAGCCACCCGGACAGCTGATGAAACTGTGGGTTTGCACAACCAAAGAATTTCTGCACAAACTGTCAGAAACTGTCTCAGGGAAACTCATCTGCGTGCTCGTCGTCCTCACCAGGGTCTTGACCTGACTGCAGTTCGGCGTCGTAAATTACTTCAGTGGGTAAATTCTCACCTTCGATGGCCACTGGCACGCTGGAGAAGTGTGCTCTTCACGGATGAATCCCGGTTTCAACTATACCGGGCAGATGGCAGACAGCATGTATGGTGTCGTGTGGGTGAGCGGTTTGCTGATGTCAACATTGTGAACAGAGTGCCCCATAGTTGCGGTGGGGTTATGGTATGGGCAGGCATAAGCTACGGACAATGAATATATTTACATTTTATTGATGACAATTTGAATGCACGGAGATACTTTGCCGAGATCCTGAGGCCCACTGTCGCGCCATCCCTCCGCCTCCATCACCTCATGTTTCAGAATGATAATGCACAACCCCATGTCACAAGGATCTGTTCACAATTCCTGTAAGCTGAAAATGTCCCAGTTCTTCTATGGCCTGCATACTCACCAGACATGTCACCTATTGAGCATGTTTGGGATGCTCTGGATTGACGTGTTCGACAGCATGTTCCAGTTCCCACCAATATCCAGCAACTTCGCACAGCCATTGAAGAGGAGTGGGACAACATTCCACAGGCCACAATCAACAGCCTGATTTCCTCTATGCGAAGAAGATGTGTCGTGCTGCACCAGATACTGACTGGTGTTCTGATCCGCGCCCCTACCTTTTTCTAAGCTATCTGTGACCTACAGATGCATACCTGTATTCCCAGTTTTGTGAAATCCATAGATTAGGGCCTAATGAATTTATTTAAATTGACTGATTTCCTTAAACGAACTGCAACTCAGTAAAATCTTTGAAATTGTTGCATGTTGCGTTTATATTTTTGTTCAGTGTAGTATATTTAGTCTAAACATTTACTAGGCTTATTATTGTGAGTCTTTGGAAATGAAATGTTACAGTTGCATCAATAACCATTTTAGGGTTACTGTATGGGATACGTTCTGTCCCTTTGGATCAGACAGGTGCACCTCCCCCTGTCTACTCTGCTGAAAACCACTCTGTTATGTCAACCTTCAACCAGCAGAGAGCAATCTTTGCCTACAGGTATACAAATGTGGGTCATTCCAAGAGCCATTTTGGTTTTGGTCTATAGTAGCTTTTTTGCTCTCTAGATCAATTCTATAATTCATGTTTTCTCACTGTAAAACAAGCCTGAGCGTATTACAAAGGGGATTGTTCAAACTCAAATTATGTAAGTGGAGCAACATTCTCCCACCTAGAGCACAAAATACACAACTCCCTAAAGCCCCACTTCGGTTTTTCAAGGTGCATACAATGCAAAGGGAGAGATCGAGTTGAAATGTTTTCAATGTTGAGTTTGCATCCCAATATTACACTTGATATACATCACAGAAAACTGAAATATAACAAAACCGTTTGACATACAAACACTGGATTTTTGGCGGGTTTTTGAAATAATGTTTATTAATTAGGAAATTATGATAAATATGAATAACATTCCACCCATGAGGCCACTAGGTCAGTTGACTGCAGGAAAGAGCTACGGCCTCTAGAAGTGCAAGTGACATAAAACACCAAATATTCAATAATATGCTGTAATGTTTGTAAACACTTAACCTAGCAGACAACCTGCTTGCACCAATCCCTTGTAATTACAGTAAAATACTGTGAAATATAAACCTCTCCCTTCAACGAATTTAATTCATTAATTCCTTAATTCCGATTATGGTAGCATTTACTTTTTGACAGTGTAATGCAATCAATTTTGAGGTATTGTACTATGTGTCATTACACAGTACTTGCTTTGATACCATATTCATATTACAGTAGGTGTGCAGTAATATAAAATACAGAGTTTTACTTGCCACCAAGCTGCCTGTAAGCTACTGTCAAAATCCCAGTCAGCTGGAGCTGGCTATCAGTCCAGCCAAGGGTCAAATAAGTGTGTGTGTGTGTGTGTATGTGTGTGTGTGTGTGTGTGTGTGTGTGTGTGTGTGTGGATGGAGGGAGGGAGTTACAGAAAGAGAGAGAGAGAAGGAGAGAGATTGTGAAAACTTCAGAAACAGCATACTCTTGCAGACAAACAATGGGGGTTGTGCAATGGTAGTGTATGTTCCATTCCCAATGCACAAACTATTTACACTCAGACTCCCATCATTCTAGAATGATGCCCCCATATATCTGTTTTCAAATGTACCCTGTGTGTAATAAAAAACATGAATACAGTCACAGAGTAAACATTACATGATTTATTTAATCCCTATGAAATATCAACATTTCCTGCTTCATATCAAAAACATACAATTGTTATTTTTTATTGCGCATCCTCTGGAGTTTATTATTCAACAGTGAGAGCGTGAGCCCTCATGACGCCAACGTCTGAGATAAACTGTAAATGGTCTGAGATAACCAGTATGGGTAAAGTGGATCTGAACCAATAATGAGGCCAGGGCTAATGCCCAACATATCCTTAGGACTGGGAGTGGGTCCAAGATTTGTTTATGTAAGCATGTTCCCATAGTTGAGCCACATATCGACCCCTCCCATGGCAGCCCGCCTCGACATAAAAGCCAGCGGTAAACGGTGAAGAGTTGGAGTTTGTGCCAACTTTCACCGGAGTGGACTACTACCGTCAGCCTGGGTCAAGGACCGCCGCGGGCGCAACAAGCAGCCAGCAGCCGCAGCAAGAAGCAAAACCACCCCGAGAAGAAAAATGCCTCCCTTCGACAAATCTATGGAGCTGATGCCTTTCAAGCAAAGAAAATGCCTTAGTTGGTGCTTCTATTCTACTCTATTGTTCTATTCTATAGTCATTTTTAAATGATAGCTCTAGTCTTCTTGGTGCATTGTCATTATGGTGATCATAGCGCATGATAAATGTTGGTCACGTGATGTTTTGGTTCATTCCAACCCCTATAATAGAGATTCTAGTGGTCTATAATAAAGTGGTAATGTTCTTCTGTTATGCTTTTTCTAGCGACAAGAAAACATGAAGTGTGCAGTATTCGTATTAAATTCCCAAACAAGTTACCTGTGAGTAATTTTGCTGCTCTTGACATTATGGTAAATTATTGCGTCCAATCAAATGCAAGGAATGCTAACAGTTGTCTATTTGTGTGCTGTAACTGCGAAGGTGATCGTAGAGCGTTACCTCCATGAGAAGACCCTTCCCCTATTGGACAAGACCAAATTCCTGGTTCCATTCGAGCTGACCTTCGGTCAGTTCCTCTGTCTACTCAGGTGAACACTGGTAGGGTGTGTGTGAAAAAGGATGTGTGAGGAAATCAAAGTGCATTTGCTGACAGTTTGTATGTGTGTGTGTGCGTGTGTGTGTATCCGTGCGTGCGTGTGTGTGCATGCGTGCGTGTGGTTTCCGAGATTATTGTGTGTGCATATGGGATTGACCATGTCTTCACGGGAACCCTGTGATAACCCCGGTTCCTATCCTCAGGGCCGGATTAAGAAATCATAGACCCCCTTCCCTCCCCTCTTCCCGGCACACCAACATTTTCTGTAAACAAATCCGTGCACCAAGATGCAATTTGATGCGTTGTAAATGTACTGTTGAAGAAAAGCCCCGTTATAATAAAGCCATAATAGCATTTGCCATGTGGCATAGGCTACAGTGGAGCAGAGGTGTTTGTACGATTTTCACACATAGGGAATGTTTTTTAGCAGGGTCCGCAAGAAACATGCCTTTTAAAAACGCATTTCATGCAGTTATACTTCATTTACATGACAGAAGACATTATCTTAATCTTTTTTAATACCACAAAAACGAGTGGCTACTCTGACAAATTGAGATCAATCTGGTCTTGAATTCAAACAAACAATAGCCCAGGCCAATGAAGCGACACACAGATTGTACAATACTAGGAGGCAATATACAGTACCAGTCAAAAGTTTGGACACACCTACTCATTCAAGGGTTTTTCTTTAATTTTACTATTTTCAACATTGTAGAATAATAGTGAAGACATTAAAACTATGAAATAACACATATGGAATCATGTAGTAACCCAAAAAGTGTTAAACAAATCAAAATATATTTTATATTTGAGATTCTTCAAAGTATCCACCTTTTGCCTTGATGACAGCTTTGCACACTCTTGACATTCTCTCAACCAGCTTCACATGGAATGCTTTTCCAACAGTCTTGAAGGAGTTCCCACATATGCTGAGCACTTGTTGGCTGCTTTTCCTTCACTCTGCGGTCCAACTCATCCCAAACCATCTTAATTGGGTTGAGGTCGGGTGATTGTGGAGGCCAGGTCATCTGATGCAGCACTCCATCACTCTCCTTCTTGGTAAAATAGCCCTTACACAGCCTGGAGGTGTGTTGGGTCATTGTCCTGTTGAAAAACAAATGATAGTCACACTAAGCCCAAACCAGATGGGATGGCGTATCACTGCAGAATGCTGTGGTAGGCATGCTGGTTACGTGTGCCTTGAATTCTAAATAAATCACAGATACCAATCACCATAACACCTCCTCCTCCATGCTTCACGGTGGGAACTACACATGCAGAGATCATCCGTTCACCCACACTGCGTCTCATACGGCGGTTGCAATCAAAAATCTCAAATTTGGACTCCAGACCAAAGGACAAATTTCCACCTGTCTGTCTATTGCTTGTGTTTCTTGGTGTCCTTTAGTAGTGGTTCCTTTGCAGCAATTCTACCATGAAGGCCTGATTCACACAGTCTCCTCTGAACAGTTGATGTTGAGATGTATCTGTTACTTGAACTGTGTGAAGCATTTATTTGGGCTGCAATTTCTGAGGCTGGTAACTCTAATGAACTATCCTCTGCAGCAGAGGTAACTCTGGGTCTTCCTTTCCTGTGGCGGTCCTCATGAGAGCCAGTTTCATCATAGCACTTGACTGCACTTGAAGAAACGTTCAAAGTTCTTGAAATTTTCCGGATTGACTGACCTTCATGTCTTAAAGTAATGATGGACTGTCGTTTCTCTTTGCTTATTTGAGCTGTTCTTGCCATAATATGGACTTGGTCTTTTACCAAATAAGGCTATCTTCTGTATACAAGGTGGGGGGGGGGGGGGGGGCGACCTTGTCACAACACAACTGATTGGCTCAAACGCATTAAGAAGGAAATAAATTCCTAAATTAACTTTTAACAAGGCACACCTGTTCATTGAAATGCATTCCAGGTGACTACCTCATGAAGCTGGTTGAGAGAATGCCAAGAGTGTGCAAGGCTGTCATCAAGTCAAAGGGTGTCTACTTTGAAGAATCTCAAATCTCAAATATATTTTGATTTGTTTAACACTTTTTTGGTTACTACATGATTCCATATGTGTTATTTCATAGTTTTGATGTCTTCACTACTATTGTACAATGTAGAAAATAGTACAAATACAATTTTAAAAACCTTGAATGAGTAGGTGTGTCCAAACTTTTGACTGGTAGTGCGTTTGTATTTTGAAATCTGCAAAAGTCAAATTGACAAGCGCAACCAACCATATAAATATATAATCCATAGATGGCAGTTCCCATTCAAGTCAGGACTGGCATCCATTGCTAGTGTACCCATGATTTTAACAGTCAAATTGCCAGGGTTAGAGGTTACAAAATCCTTCTTTGGATTATTTGTCTATGACCACGAAGCATCAAGCTGTAGCTAGCATGCTGCCCAAAGTGCAGCCTTCGCGACTGTAGGCATACCAGTAACTGCCAAAATAAAGGAAACACTTGAGTAAACAAGGAATACAAAGTATATGTTATGGTGTGGGGGTGCATTTTCCTGGCATGGTTTAGGTCCACTTGTAGAATCTATGCCGAGGCGCATTGAAGCTGTTCTGGCAGCTGATGGTATTGCAACACCCTTTTAACCTCTATGGGATCGATGTCCCGTATACGGGACGAATGAGCTAACATGCAGTAATGTGATTAGCATGACTGTTGTAAGTAATAGCAAACTTTCCAGGACATAGAAATGTCTTATACAGTTGAAGTCGGAAGTTTACATACACTTAGGTTGGAGTCATTAAAACTAGTTTTTCAACCACTCCACAAATGTCTTGTTAACAAACTATAGTTTTGGCAAGTCGGTTAGGACATCTACTTTGTGCATGACACAAGTAATTTTTCCAACAATTGTTTACAGACAGATTATTTCACTTATAATTCACTGTATCACAATTCTAGTGGGTCAGAAGTTTACATACACTAAGTTGACTGTGCCTTTAAACAGCTTGGAAAATTCCAGAAAATTATGTCATGGCTTTAGAGGCTTCTGATAGGCTAATTGACATAATTTGAGTCAATTGGAGGAGTACTTGTGGATGTATTTCAAGGCATACCTTCAAACTCAGTGCCTCTTTGCTTGACATCATGGGAAAATCAAAAGAAATCAGCCAAAAAATTGTAGACCTCCACAAGTCTGGTTCATCCTTGGGAGCAATTTCCAAACGCCTGAAGGTACCACGTTAATCTGTACAAACAATAGTATGCAAGTATAAACACCATGGGACCACGCAGCCGTCATACCACTCAAGAAGGAGACGCGTTCTGTCTCCTAGAGATGAACGTACTTTGGTGCGAAAAGTGTAAATCAATCCCAGAACAACAGCAAAGGACCTTGTGAAGATGCTGGAGGCAACAGGTACAAAAGTATCTATATCCACAGTAAAACAAGTCCTATATCGACATAACCTGAAAGGCCGTTCAGCAAGGAAGAAGCCACTGCTCCAAAACCGCCATAAAAAAGCCAGACTACGGTTTGCAACTGCACATAGGGACAAAGATCGTACTTTTTGGAGAAATGTCCTCTGGTCTGATGAAACAAAAATATAACTGTTTGGACATAATGACCATCGTTATGTTTGGAGGAAAAAGGGGGCTGCTTGCAAGCCGAAGAACACCATCCCAACCGTGAAGCACGGGGGTGGCAGCATCATGCTGTGGGGGTGCTTTGCTGCAGGAGGGACTGGTGCACTTCACAAAATAGATGGCATCATGAGGAAGGAAAATGATGTGGATATATTGAAGCAACATCTCAAGACATCAGTCAGAGTTAAAGCTTGGTCGCAAATGGGTCTTCCAAATGGACAATGACCCCAAGCATACTTCCAAAGTTGTGGCAAAATGGCTTAAGGACAACAAAGTCAAGGTATTGGAGTGCCATCACAAAGCCCTGTCCTCAATCCTATAGAAAATGTGTGGGCAGAACTGAAAAAGTGTGTGCGAGCAAGGAGGCCTACAAACCTGACTCAGTTACACCAGCTCTGTCAGGAGGAATGGGCCAAAATTCACCCAACTTATTGTGGGAAGCTTGTGGAAGGCTATCCGAAACGTTTGACCCAAGTTAAACTATTTAAAGGCAACGCTGCCAAATACTAATTGAGTGTATGTAAACTTCTGACCCACTGGGAATGTGATGAAATAAATAAAAGCTGAAATAAATCATTCTCTCTACTATTATTCTGACATTTCACATTCTTAAAATAAAGTGGTGATCCTAACTGACCTAAGACAGGGAATTTTTACTAGAATTAAATGTCAGGAATTGTGAAAAACTGAGTTTAAATGTATTTGGCTAAGGTGTATGTAAACTTCCGACTTCAACTGTATGGACAGAAAGCTTAAATTCTAACAATTTTACATTTTACATTTTAGTCATTTAGCAGACGCTCTTATCCAGAGCAACTTACAGTTAGTGCATACATTATTTTAAAAAATTCATACTGGCCCCCCGTGGGAATCGAACCGTGTTAATCTAACTGCATTGTCCAATTTACAGTAGCTATTACCATGGAAAAATACCATGCTATTGTTTGAGGAGAGTGCACAACAACAAAAAATGTATCACGGCAACTGGTTTGATAATAATGTACTTACATTCAGTAATCTTGCTCTGATTTGTCATCCTAAGGGTCCCAGAGATAAAATGTAGCATAGTTTTGTTTGATAAAATCCATTTGTATATTGAAATGTAGGAACTGGGTTCTACAGTTTGAACCCCTGCTGTCTCTGGCTCCACACCCACCCCGCCCGGCCATCTAGATGTGTGAAAGTTAGTGTATAAGCTAATGATCCATCATGTATGACATTCCTGGGAGTGTGTAAATTTACATATTGAATTACCATATCATTTTTGTGTGTTCTCTATAGTTACGTACTTGAAAATATATCAATTGACCAATTCGGCACATTTGGGCAGACTTGATACAAAATAGTCCAGTATTGCAATGCTTCACTGGATCAATCTGAAACTTTGCACACACACTGCTACCATCTAGTGGCCAAAATTGCGCCTAAACTGCAATATTATATTGTGGCCTTTCTCTTGCATTTCAAAGATGATGGAGCAAAAAAATAAATAGAAAACGCATGTTTTTTGGTTTGTATTATATTTTACCAGATCTAATGTGTTATATTCTCCTACATTAATTTCACATTTCCACAAACTTCAAAGTGTTTCCTTTCAAATGGTAACAAGAATATACATATCCTTGCTTCAGGTCCTGAGCTACAAAAAAAAAGGGTCTGATCCTTATTAAGACACTTTATGTTGGTGTTTCCTTAATTTTGGCAGATACCTGTATGTGCTTGTGAGAACAATTGATCCTCTGTGGCTAAATGATGCTCTCTGGTGTATTTTGAACATTGAGAATGGGCTGCTGTCATTGGATAAAAAAGGATAATAAAAACAATAACATCATTTGTATTTGTTTTGCCTCTTGGGCCCCCTACGGGCTTGGGCCCAGCCCCTGACTCACATAATTGACCAGTCACATTTATTTATTATGCATTTGATTTTTGTTGTTGTTGATTAATCAGTTACCCAATCAAGGCAGGGCCCCCCATTTACCCACGTGAGCCCCCTACCTTCTCTCCTCCCCCCTTCTGATGATTAGCAGAGCGGCAGCAGGCAGCAGCAGGCTGTCTACACTCATTGAGAGCTGGCTCCTGAGTCTTCCTGTGGTTGGTGGTTGCAATGAAAAAACATAAAATATAAACTACATATATAATATATACAGTATATATTTCCTAAATAATTAAGTGTTCTTTTTACATTGTTTTTTTGGCTGCCTTTTGGGCCCCCCACGGGCCTGGGCCCAGGGCTTTCAGCCCCGGTAAGCCCCTGCATTAAACCGCCCCTGCCTATTCTCTATCTCTCCTCAGGAGTAAGATTGACTTGGAGTCCACCCAGGCTCTGTATCTGTTGGTGTCGGAGAGGAGCATGTCCTGCATGTCGTCCAGTATGGGAGAGGTCTACTCTCAGTACAGCGACCCGGATGGCTTCCTCTACATCACCTACGCCTCACAGGACATGTTCGGAGGGGATGCAGATGCTACCCATCCCCGCTGAGCCCAAACCATGTCTGAAAGATCTGTCCTCTCCTCGCTTCCTCTCTCACCAGGTGAAGCCAGTCCAAGTAATGATGAGCTTCCACCATATTGTTTTCACCTGTCAAGTCTTTGACGATGAAGTGACAGTGTACGGGAGGAAAGGTTGGATTTTCATGTGCTCTGTTCTCCCGCCCTTCTACCTCACGAATGGACTGCGAATCACTGTACTGCACCTTCGTCCTTCTCTTGGTTAGTTTCTGACCACTTCCAGCTCTGCCAGAGTTGGACTGAGATGATTGGACTCTATTTGATTTATCGATTTATTCAAGGAGATTTAAGAAATAGAAAGAAACCTCTATAATAACTCTGTAATAATTGAGTAAAATATCAGAAGAGATCATTGTCGTAACACCAGAGAGAAATAGGTTGGAGAGGGATGCCCTACCTTGTGGGTACTCACCCTGACACAAGTGAAATTCCTTCCTGTTTTGATATTGTATCACTTCCATGAACCACTGAGGTCTGTTGGGTGCTCTGGGGTCCCCCATGTCTCCTATCTGTTACCTCCTCCGCCTCTCACAAGAAACATGTTGAAACGGAGGAAAATAAGGTCAATGAGAAGATCTTAATTGCATACTCCTCACGTCCTCGCTCTTTGTCTCCTTCTTAAAACCCATTGGAGGAGAAGGTCAGAGGGGTGGGACCTCTTGCTTTCAAATCCAATGGGTTTTTTCGAAGGAGACGAGGAGCGCGGACACGAGGAGTATGCAATTAAGATCTTCTCATAGTCTGGTTTTACTTCTTAGCACTTAAAGCTCCTTTAAGATCTCCTTTCTGTGTTCCTCATGAAACGTTATCATTCCTTTCTGTCTTCCTCATGAAACATTATCATTCCTTTCTGTCTTCCTCATGAAACATTGTCATTCCTACAAAATGTGAATTTTTGACCTTCAGGCACAGTGTTATTAAACACAATGTTACAAGTTAGTCAAAGTGTTACATGTGTTATTTGGACTGTTTATACTCAATGAAGACTTAGATGTGTTCATGTTGTATATCTAACAATGCTGTGCTCTGTGAAATCAAATGTAATCAAATTTCCCAAATAAACTCCATGTCCTTTTAATGTATACTATGGTTTGATTTATGGGTAGTCAAACAAGCCTGTAATTGACCATTCCCCATAGCATCATATAGCCATCATAACAGCCTTGTGATCATGTAACAGCATGTCTTTTTTTGTTCAAGGACACAAAGTCATGAATGCATGACTTCACATGCATCACCCAAGTTTCAGTAACTTCAGAAAGTCATGAGTTATATTAGTCATGTATGATTACTGGAACATGCCCATACGTACAGGCTGTACTGACACACAAAGCTGCCATGCTGCTTCCCACCTCTGTCTTAGATGTGGCACCTTTCTACATTTAGCTGTGTTACAAACCCCCCTGGCTGCCTTTAACAGTACGGGTCAGGAGGGGTCAGTGTGTCACAGGGTCATCGGGGGGAACAGGGGTGTGAGGAGGGGGCCGAGCATAGAGATAGATAGAGGACTCTAGTGCCCAAAATCCTGTTTTAGCATGGGCATCGCCATTAAGGACTTTCACCATTTTTAAGTAGTCAACTGCAAGGGATTTCCTATTGGTTAAGAAAGGATCACACAATTCCATCCATGTCATCAGGAGGGATCAGCCAATGAATTATACTGTCTTTATACCTTTATACCTGTTCAAACAACACACTCCAGGTGGCAGTATGCACCCTTTCAGTTTGTTTGCCAACTCATAGAAATAGTAGAAGAAGAAAATGTACTACTTTCAAAATGGAGATGGCCTCAATGGCACTGCACATGCTCCCACAGACGGCATAATGGGACAGATACAATGATGCGATGTCTATCTAAGTCTATGGGGCCGAGGTATTTTCAGAGGAGGACAGAATGACAGTGACCCAGAAATGGACTGATGGAAGTAGAGAGAAAGAGATGGTTAGAGAGAGACAGCTTCACAAACAGGGGTAGAGAGAGACACGTATAGAAAAAGACAGGGGAGAGAGAGACAGGGGAGAGAGACAGGGGAAGAGAGAGACAGGGGGAGAGAGACAGGGAAAGAGAGAGACAGGGGAAGAGAGAGACAGGGAGTATAAGGGTTGAGTTAAGAGGAGGATACGTACACCCACTCACTTCACACCACCGTGGCCATTCTAGCACCCTTTTCTTTTGAAGAGTGGTTTAAACCAGACAACTGGGTGGTTCTCTCTCAGCTGTACATTCAGGCCATGGTGGAGTCAATGTTATGAGTGGCAAGGTTATTTTTGACACACTGTGCATGGCGTGGAAGCTGTTCTATTTAATCAAATGTGTGAAGAACACAGAGCAATGCTAAGGAAGACCTGTGAAATGGCTGTGTCATGGGACTTACATCATGTGCTGTTGGTTTACCTTAGGGTACTGATAGCCTTATACTACTAATAATATTATGAGATCATTTGAGCTGTTAACAGATTGTTCTAGTTTAAGTGTACTGTACAGATACGTTCAACACAGACATACAGTAGCCTATCACAAAGATGCCACACAAGCACTGTATTGATGGAAACTTTTGGAACAGTATCTCACCCATATCTATTACTCACAAGAGGAACTATAGCATTTACAGGTCAGTCAGTAGAACAGTAACAGATATAGTGTATGTAGGAATAACTCAAGATATTGCCCTAGTACCAATCAAAAGGAAAACAGTGTAAACCGGTTCAAACCTAATCCTGTCACACCCGAGGCATGTTGTGGGGATCATGCGGAACAGGGTCAGAGCATGACAGAGTATCACACAGTCTGAGTTTCATGCTGGGCCCATAGCTGAGGGTTTGACACGAGGAAAAACGTGTGTGTGTGTTTTTGATGCTAGCAAAAGATAAGATACACCACAAAAATCAGGTTCTAAAGGGAAGAAAGATGCAGACAAAATCAGAGCTGTCATGGAGACACAAAGGAAACATATAAAGAAGAAAACAACTGCAGTCATTATTGTGTAGTAGGTATAACCTTTATTGTGTGTAGTGGGCATCAAGTTCAAATATTAAGAGGTGCAACACAGAGCACAAAAACAAGCTTCAAAGTGTAAACAATTAGCTGCTTCTCCAGATGTAAAACAATCCCCATGCTGCATTCAAACAGCAGATGAGCCTGCTATACAGTAAACATGCATGAACAGACTAACGCACAAGGAAACCAGATCAGGGTACCTCTGCATAACTCACATTCCTGTCCCTGGCCTATTCTCCATTAGCTAGATGTAATTTCAGTGCCATGTATGAAGAGAAAGATCTATGATCACCATAGAGACAAGGCATTGGGGGCAAAACAACTAGGCGGGGTTGGGGGGTGACTGTCATCGTGATGGTATGGGAGTTGTGAAAAAGTAAACATTGTCAATTGCAATCAATCTAGTACAGTTTGTTGAGTGGAAGTTTAAACATAGTTACTCTCTCGAGTGCTCGCAGTTTGAATCAAAGATATGGAACTAAGAGCATTTGAATGATGCAAAACTGGCACATCTAGACTTGCCATCTAACAATATCTAGGGTTGAGGTGAAATCAGTCTAGTAGTTTAAAACCTGCTTTTGAAAGCTTCAATGGTTTAAACTTTCAACTAAACATTTCTGTTTATTATTTGTGTCAACGTTCTGGAACTTTCTCAACTGTGCTTCCAGCATTCTAAATGATCTCCACATGTTCACCGTGAATGTGTTCCAGAATCTCATAATCAGTTCCTTCTTTCTCGGTCAGTATCTTCAGTTGATCAGTAGGCCTACAGCTGTATCTCTCCACCCTTGGTCAAAACATATTTGACAAGCAGATACATAAGCAGAGTCCTGTCCTCAGGTGCTTGCGTCCAGCTCACCGACAGGGGGGCACTTATGTATTAAATTCAATACAGGTAGACATTTCAAAATAAGAGTTTCCAACGTAGTAAATAATACACTACTTAATTGGGATCAATATTTCCTTTTTATTCATCTGAGAAAAAAATAAAATGGAAGCATTTGAAAGCATCTCATAGTAAACAGACAGGAAATACAAAAATATAGCTAAAACAATTCTAAGTGAGAATATTTTTTCACCAAAAAGGACAAGTTAATTACGTCTCTTTGGCTCAACATATGGACAGTATATTTTAAATGTCTTTAACAAGTTTCCCATCCCCTCACGCAACATCAACACATTCTGTTGCATTAATGTCCATTCATCAGTTCCAACTCTCCACCCGCCCAACCCTCCCTCTCATCAAATCTTCAGAAACATTTCCCCCACAACTCAAAACAACCCCTCCCTAACCCAGCCCTCCCCAGCTTCTCTCTGGCTCATTAGATTGCATTTTCCCCCTTCCTCCCAGCCCCATATCACTCTCCCATATCAATCTCCTGGTGGCGTTTAGAAGGTGGCACCAGGTGTTCCGGAAGCTTCCCTGGCAGCTCATGTCCCTCCAGCTTCACTCTGATCAGGTGATTGGCCAGCGCAAACTCCTCATCGTCTAGGTAACCATCCTTATCCACGTCGGCCAGCTTCCAGATCTTGCCCAGGACCGTGTTGGGCAGCTTGGACTTCACCATCTCCTTCTTGGCTGCCGCGCCCGACACTTTACCGTTGATCGGTGACAGAGTGTAGAAGATCTCATCGTACGAGGGTTTGTCCCGGCCCACCACCCACTCCTGCTCGTCGATGCCTTCCCCGGCGCCCTCTCCGTAGCCGTGACCGAAGGGGCCGGACATGGTGCCTTCGAAGGCGCCACCGTGGACAGCCTGGCTGGGCATGGCGGCTTCCTCCTGGCGAACCAGGGTCATGAGGCGGGCGATGTCGTTGGCCAACATGTCCTCCACAGCCTCCAGCAGCTTGGGCTTCATGGCAGGGAACTTAGAGAAGTCGTGGCCAGCCAGGAGCTCCTTCAGAGACGAGGGGAGATGAATACTATGTTAAAGGTCTGAGGTTATTAACAAAGAATATGTTCATCATTGGACGGTCTTCATTACATCTACAACATCATGATACAAATAATGGCATAACACTTCAGTTTGTAGAGTCACACTGATTAACCTTTGGTGTGGACATGCGTACGGAAACTATTCCAGCAACATTTCTCTGAGGAAGCTACACTAGATATGGATTCAGTCTCCATCTCACCTGCATCTTCTTGAGTTTAGGGAAGTCTCCAGGGGAGATCTGATGTTCCCTCTCTATCTTCAGGTACGTCTCTCCCAGGTTGGCGATCAGTTCCTTCTTCTTGTTCTCCTTCCCAAACACACTGGGCATCTCCTTCTTCAGAGAGCTGATGATGTAGGCATGGACCTGGACAAGGGTTCAAAGTTCACATAACCTTTAGAAACAAGCCATTGACCCAGACTGATATTCTGCCATAATAAACCATCTAGTTGAGGATGTAGGCATGTACAAGGGTTGAAACATCCTTTAGAAACTACCTGTTAACCAGTTGTGGAAAAGGTACCCAACTGTCATACTTGAGTAAAAGTAAAGATACCTTAATAGAAAATGACTCAAGTAAAAGTGAGTCATCCAGTAGAATCCTACTTGAGTAAAAGTCTAAAAGTATTTGGTTTTAAATATACTTAAATGTATGGAGTTAAAAGTACATAATTTTCTTTAGGAATGTAGTCAAGTAAAAGTAGTCAAAAATATAAATATTAAAGTAAAGTACAGACACCCAAAAAAACGACTTAAGTAGTACTTTCAAGTATTTTTACTTAGCTACTTTACACCACTGCTGTTGACCCACAACAAAATACTACTAACTTGAACTCTGCTCCTCTCTGCTAAAGTGCCCTCTTGGATATTCCCTTATTCCTAGTCCCAATCTTTTAATATAGCTTAAATAGAACAATGAGTTTATAATGGTGAACGAGTGTTGCGCCTTTTCAATTATAAAAGAAAAACATGTTGCACCTCGACTCCCATTGGTTGAGTGCCCTCCACTTCTTTCTCCATTCTATGCCCCCATACCTTCCTACAAACATCTGGACCCCTCACCTCACCTTAGCTAGCCGGGCCCTCTTGATGAGGTCGTTGAGCTTCCGTATCGCTGCGTTCCGGGGAAGACCCTGGATGTCCTGGAACAAGTCCTGTTCCTCAGCCTCAAACAGCTTCCTGTTGTCAGGGATCAGGAGAGGCTGGGCCCAGAACGACCCGATGTACACCCTCACCACCTGAGGACCACAATATATATATATATATCTCAACACAGTGTACAAAACATTAAGAACACCTTCCTAATATTGAGGGCAGGGCATGGACTCATCAGACGCCCCCGAATGTGTTCGCATTCGGTGAAGAGTAGGGAAGGTCAGATCCAGACTCATTGAGAAGAAACTAACGTCCACGGGCGTGGTGTAGCGTTTGGCCGTAGCAAGGAGTCTGGGTAGCCAGGCACGGCCCCAGCAGGACCACAATGGAAATAAGTTAGTAGACTTTGCATCCTTAATGTATGTGTTGTTGTGTTGTAGTCTGATGGCTAAGGCAATTCTATATGCATTTAAAAATTGTCTGCATCTGAAATGACACCCTATTCCCACTAGAGTGCGCTACTTTTGACCATGGGAAAGTAGTGCACTATATAGGGAAGTGAGTGCCATTTGGGAGACCTATGTTGGCCCTGTTTAAAATAAGTGAACTATATAGGCAATAGGGTGCCATTTCGGACGCACCTTTGTGGAAATAAATAAAATAATAATAATTCACCTCGGGGGTGTTGATGATCTTCCCCAGCGACCACATGAGGGCGCCGTAGACTCTCATCAGCTGCTGCGTGTTTATCTGGTCAGCCTTGTTCAGCACCACACGCATCTTGTCCTCGTGGTTCTTCAGGGCGCGGATCACCTCAGAGAACTCGTCTGAGATGTCCAGCTTGTGGGCGTCAAACAGGAGGATGATGCGGTCCACGCGTTCTGCGAACCACTCGAGTACCGCCGCAAAGTCATACCCTGGAGAAATTTACATTTTACATTACATTTTAGTCATTTACATATTACATTACATTTTAGTCATTTAGCAGATGCTCTTATCCAGAGCGACTTACAGTTAGTGAGTGCATAAATTTTTCATACTGCAAGGGGAGGGTGGTTATGGTGGATTCACAAACACCAGTCTGGACTAGGTCTATTAGCAAGACTTATGTTGAGGAGGAACCCCAAATGAGATTGTGAGGAGACAGATGAGATGGCGAGGAGGCAGATGAGATGGCGAGGTGGCAGATGAGATGGCGAGGTGGCAGATGAGATGGCGAGGAGGCAGGTAGGGAGACAGATGAGATGGTGAGGAGACAGATGAGATGGCGAGGAGACAGATGAGATGGCGAGGAGACAGATGAGATGGCGAGGAGACAGATGAGATGGCGGAGAGACAAAATAAAGAGGAAAAGTGGGTATCGGGTTTTGAGGATGTGGGTTGTTGGTTTTGGTTTGTATTCTGTGGGTTGGACACTAACATGATCCTATAAATTGACAACTACATACTGAAACTATAGACCCTATGCAACGTGTTTCAAAACGTTGCTGATTCTGTCAAAATATTCAAACGTATTCAGTTCCATCCTCTTTAACCTATTTTTAAAAAAACAACAGGAAACAGATGAGGCTGAAACGTAATAGGAACAGAGAGGCCTTTTCTTCTTCGGAAACAGAAGCCTGGGGAGTTCTGGCGCAGCAAACCGAGGCTCTTTAAACAGACAAAGGAAAAGAAAGATGAATAGAAAAAAAGAGAGAGAGAGAATGATGGTTTTGATTAGCGCCGGTGTCATCTGATCGGGGAAGAATGCAGTCAGTCTGTCTAAAAATCTCATCTACGCGGCTGACCACACAATCAGCACCAGCTCTGCTGCACACGCATTGCAGGGGGAGGCTTTGTGCGTCGTGCGTGTCGGGGTGGAGTGGGGGAGATCAGTGGAAAGTGAGAGTGGGAGAGAAAACATTTGAGCAAGAGAAAGTGAGTGAGTGAAAGTGACAAAGAGACAATCACTGGTAGAGAGAGAAAAAGGTAAATCATACCACCAGCATATCAAGACAGGAGAGAGAGAGAGAGAGTCACAGCCAGAAACAGAGACACAGAGAGAAACAGAGAGAGAGATGAAGGGTCACAGACAGAAACAGAGAGAGAGAGAGAGAGAGAGAGAGAGAGAGAGAGAGAGAGAGAGAGAGAGAGAGAGAGAGAGAGAGAGAGAGAGAGAAGAGAGAGAAGACAGAGACAGGAGAGAGAGAGAGGAGAGAGAGAGAGAGAGAGAGAGAGAGAGAGAGAGAGAGAGAGAGAGAGAGAGAGAGAGAGTGTTATGGAGAGAGAGAGAGACAGAAAGAAACAGAGAGATATGGAGAGAGAGACCGAAACAGAGAGAGCGACAGAAACAGAGAGAGATTGAAAGATAAGGGAATCTGAAAGTCAGAGGCACATGGGATTTAGAGGACATTCCTTCCGTCAAATGGATAGTTTGAAACAACTGTCCCCACACAATGACAACTATACCATTCTCTACCAACTGTCCCCAAACAATGACAACTACACCATTCTCTACAGTCGACCAACTGTCCCCACAATGACAACTACACCACTCTACAGTCTACCAACTGTCCCCACACAATGACAACTACACCACTCTCTACAGTCGACCAACTGTCGCCAAACAATGACAACAACACCACTCTCTACAGGTCTACCAATTGTCCCCAAACAATGACAACTACACCACTCTCTACAGGTCTACCAATTGTCCCCACAATTACACCACTCTCTACAGTAGACCAACTGTTCCCAAACAATGACAACTACACCACTCTCTAGTCAACCAACTGTCCCCACACAATGACAACTACACCACTCTCTACAGTCGACCAACTGTCTCCACACAATGACAACTGTCCCCACATGACAACTACACCACTCTCTACAGTCTACCAACTGTCCCCACATAATGACAATTACACCACTCTCTACAGTCTACCAACTGTCCCCAAACAATGACAATTACACCACTCTCTACCAACTGTCCTCCGAATTAATATTCATTACAGTGAGGGAAAAAAGTATTTGATCCCCTGCTGATTTTGTACGTTTGCCCACTGACAAAGACATGATCAGTCTATAATTTTAATGGTAGGTTTATTTGAACAGTGAGAGACAGAATAACAACAACATGTCAAACATTTTATAAATTGATTTGCATTTTAAAATTAGGGAAATAAGTATTTGACCCCTCGGCAAAACATGACTTAGTACTTGGTGGCAAAACCCTTGTTGGCAATCACAGAGGTCAGACGTTCCTTGTAGTTGGCCACCAGGTTTGCACACATCTCAGGAGGGATTTTGTCCCACTCCTCTTTGTAGAGCTTCTCCAAGTCATTAAGGTTTCGAGGCTGACGTTTGGCAACTCGAACCTTCAGCTCCCTCCACAGATTTTCTATGGGATTAAGGTCTGGAGACTGGCTAGGCCACTCCAGGACCTTAATGTGCTTCTTCTTGAGTCACTCCTTTGTTGCCTTGGCCGTGTGTTTTCGGTCATTGTCATGCTGGAATACCCATCCACGACCCATTTTCAATGCCCTGGCTGAGGGAAGGAGGTTCTCACCCAAGATTTGACGGTACATGGCCCCGTCCATCGTCCCTTTGATGCGGTGAAGTTGTCCTGTCCCCTTAGCAGAAAAACACCCCCAAAGCATAATGTTTCCACCTCCATGTTTGACGGTGGGGATGGTGTTCTTGGGGTCATAGGCAGCATTCCTCCTCCTCCAAACACGGCGAGTTGAGTTGATGCCAAAGAGCTCCATTTTGGTCTCATCTGACCACAACACTTTCACCCAGTTCTCCTCTGAATCATTCAGATGTTCATTGGCCGACTTCAGACGGGCCTGTATATGTGCTTTCTTGAGCAGGGGGACCTTGCGGGCGCTGCAGGATTTCAGTCCTTCACGGTGTAGTGTGTTACCAATTGTTTTCTTGGTGACTATGGTCCCAGCTGCCTTGAGATCATTGACAAGATCCTCCCGTGTAGTTCTGGGCTGATTCCTCACCGTTCTCATGATCATTGCAACTCCACGAGGTGAGATCTTGCATGGAGCCCCAGGACGAGGGAGATTGACAGTTCTTTTGTGTTTCTTCCATTTGTGAATAATCGCACCAACTGTTGTCACCTTCTCACCAAGCTGCTTGGCGATGGTCTTGTAGCCCATTCCAGCCTTGTGTAGGTCTACAATCTTGTCCCTGACATCCTTGGAGAGCTCTTTGGTCTTGGCCACGGTGGAGAGTTTGGAATCTGATTGATTGATTGCTTCTGTGGACAGGTGTCTTTTATACAGGTAACAAACTGAAATTAGGAGCACTCCCTTTAAGAGTGTGCTCCTAATCTCAGCTCGTTACCTGTATAAAAGACACCTGGGAGCCAGATATCTTTCTGATTGAGAGGGGGTCAAATACTTATTTCCCTCATTAAAATGCAAATCAATTTATAACATTTTTGACATGCATTTTTCTGGATTTTTTTGTTGTTATTCTGTCTCTCACTGTTCAAATAAATCTACCATTAAAATTATAGACTGATCATTTCTTTGTCAGTGGGCAAACGTACAAAATCAGCAGGGGATCAAATACTTTTTTCCCTCACTGTATATAAATAGGCCTGTTTAATTTTGCCTGGCCTGCCTTTCCAAATAAAATGGAAAAAAAAATTCTCATATAATTTAAAAAAACTGCTCGATAGGCGTAGGCAAGACCATAAGCAAATAGGTAAACTGGGATAATACTAAAGAGTTAATCAGGGTGATTTTTCAAAAAATTGACAGGTATTTACCTTTCCATGGTAGCAAGATCTTATCTATTTTTGCTAAATTTCTATTAAAATTTCTTGGAGTGAGATCATATATTTCATTTGGGATATGTATTCTGAGAATATCCACATCACCAACAGACCATTTTATTGGTAAACTACATGGTAATGTACAAATTGTACACATTGTATTTTTTAGTGATCCAATAGGTAATATAGTACATTTATCCAGAGAGGTTAGAAAATGTATCTAGATCCTCTATGAGGCTGTGGAGGGATTGAAGTTGTGGATTTAAAAGAAAACATGAATCATCAGCGTACAATGACACCTTTGTTTTTAAACCCTGGATTTCTAATCCCTTGATATTATTGTTGAATCTGATTTTAATAGCTAACATTTCGATGGCCATAATAAATAGATATGCCGATAGTGGACAACCTTGTTTCACTCCTCTTGACAGTTTAAAACTTTCTGAGAAATATAATTATTTACTAGTTACTCTACATGATTTTAATTCATTTTATAAGAGATTCTCCAAAATTGAAATGCTCCAGGCATTTATATATAAACCCCAGTCGTACTTTATCAAATGCCTTTTCAAAGTCGGCTATGAATAGCAGGCCTGGTTTCCCAGATTTTTCATAGTGTTCTATTGTTTCCAGTACTTGCCTTATATTATCTCTAATGTATCGTCCATGTAAAAAACCTGTCTGATTTGAATGAATGATGTCCGACAATACCTTTTTAATTCTATGCGCTATACATTTTGCTATAATTTTGCATCACAACACTGAAGTGTAAGCGGCCTCCAATTTTTTTAATGGACTGGATCTTTATATTTTCCACTTGTATCCTGTTTCAGTAGTAATGAAATCAGACCTTCTTCTTGAGTGTCTGATAAACCTCCATTTACATAGGAGTGGTTAAAACATGCTAATAACGGTCCTCTGAGTGTCAAAAAAGGTTTGGTATACCTCGACTGGTATGCCATCCAACCCTGGAGTTTTCCCGGAATTAGTCTTTAATTGCATCCAGAAGTTCCTCCTCTGTAATTTCACCTTCACATGAGTCTTTCTGTATGGCTGTTAATTTTACATT